TTGAGGGTGTTGTGGGTTACCGTCATCAAGTTATTTCGCGTCACGCCCATGCGGGTTAGATCGTGTGTACGAAGCTTTCCACTCTGTTGCAGACGAATCCATAAAGAATTAATCAATATCAACATCCCTCCATTATTGTGACTATCAGGATGGTAGAATGCAAGCTAGATTGACATGGTCTTTTTGCGTCTAGCAATTCATACGTTCCCATGTTCAAACTAAATGTTTAGTTTCCTCTTGGAAAAGTCAACAGTAAACCAGGACTCCAAATGTCCCAGAATGGGATTTGGAGCCTGCAACTGCATCAAGTCCTTTTTCTATTCAGGTGTAATTTCCTTGTTTGGTTGGCAGTTGTTCCCTTTCTCCTTTCCAGCTAGTGGTGATTGCAGTCTAAACACCAGTATTGTGGTCGTATGAACTATCTACCTCTCACACGAAGTGGAAAATAGGTCAAGTGGAAGTTCAGTAAATCTTATTAACAAAAACTTGTATCTAACTATTTACAGGAAACTCAAGCTTTAGGAACCTTGTTTTGTATTCAGTGTTTCCAGTTCCTGTGGTTACCATCCTAATAGTCGCATGCTATAATGGAGAGATGTTGTAATATTAATCAATATACTGACACATCATTCCATTAGTACCAAAAATCTAATTTCCAATCTATGACCTTTTATAAAATTTGGGTGGCTTTCCTGACATTGGACCGTTCTGCTGACCTAAATATGAATATGTGAAGCTATACAGATTCAATACAAGATAATCTTAAAATCTTCAATGTTTTGCATTTACACAAAAGCAAACCGATAGTAGCGTGGAAACAGGTTCATCATTTCCTTTGACTGCATTTTGTTGTTTTCCGCTTATAAATAAACATTGCGGTGAACTGTTTCATAAGCAGAGAACAAAGTGTGGTGAACAAGAAATTATTCATCATGAGACGGATATTCCTGAAATTCCTGCTAACTGGTATTTCAGGGTTTGATGACCTCTACATACATTAAAGTTAATATAAACCAAAGTCCCAGTGCGAGGCTTGGATCCCTGTGAAGCGCTTTGAAATGTTTTCTGACATTAAAGCTGCTATAGTTGTCTAGTTGGCGCTGAACCCACACCTCTGACTGAAGTGTTACCAACTAAGCTAAAATAACACCTAATATTTTGTCTGAACTTGTGCCGAATATAGCATTTAATTCTACCTGGGCTTTATGTTCTTACCAAGAATTTCCCACAAATACTTCTATAGACAATCCCATAATACATGAGGAAAGTTGTTTACTGCTCAGTATCAAATTCCACTTGATGTTTGCACTCCCAAATAAATGAGTCACCTAAAATTTCCCCAAGGCTGAAAATTTGGGTGACTTTTCTGACATTGGACCACAATAACTTCCAAGTAATCAAGATGGAATTCCCATCTACTTTCCCATGAAACTCCACACTCAGGTAGGTCAAGGGACTTTTACACTATGTGAAAATATATTTTCCTACTGCAGAAAGCAGAATTGTCTGTTCAATCTCGCCATGAAGCAACACTCTGGCGTTATTTTTCTACGAGCGACAATGTGATTAAAAACTTAAATATCTGCATATTGGGAGCCAATCTATATTAAACTCCAACCGAGTCTGTTTCTGGAAGCTGATTTGTCCATTAAGTGACAGAAAGCCCCAAGTAATGTACCACAACTTTTTATTCCCCAAATTTGAATTTGGGGCTATTTTGAAGCTGCTGATTAATATTTCTGAGCAAAGTAATAAAATAATTGGATCATTTTCGCTAAATTGTGGGATCTTTACCTGATGGTTCTTCCCTTTTTTAGCTGTTTGGAGTTTCTATCCGACAGCCTATTTTCATCTAATCCGTAGTCACAATACAATTTCATTTTTGGGCAGTGATTTGGAGGCCTCACGTGGCCAAGCGTTGTATTACAGTAACACTATCTTACTTTGTAAATAACATTATACTTTAACATTGTGCATAGCTAGGATTTGAAAATAAGACCATTCTTTGTGTTTTACACAATATATAGCTAATTATTTTTCTGCCAAACAAATCGATCAAGGCTACTTTTGTATCGATAGCTAATTTTTAAGATCATTCATAGATACGGTTTGGGTTGAGAGCCCAATTGAGTTGCTGCAAGGATGTTACACTAAATGTGAAGTTTCATTTTAATGGAAACACTGCAAGATATATTCCAAGTACCTGATCCCCAACATCAGACCGTGCCTCATATATTATAGAGAATTAAAAATCAAAGTTACAAATTCTAATCTCTAAAACAATCTCAGGTGTAAAAATCTAATTACATCCATTTTTGAGTTTGAAGTACAAGGGAAAGAACGTAGGAGGAATAATAATAATCTTTGCACTTGATGTAGTGCCTTACAGTGTCTTTGAGCTGTCTCAAAAGTACTTCACAGAATATACTGTAAAGTGTAGTGACTGTATTTTGTGGGCGAAATGCGGTTTTTGATCATTGTACACTGGGAGTTGAGGAATCCTGTAAACCCAGTTTATCTCGGCTTTTTTTAAATCCGTTATGAGGTGAACAAAATAACCATGGCAGATCAGAAACTGCGTTTTTATATAGAAAATCGAATGTCATCTACTTTGAAGATGAATACAAGCATACAACTGTGGATACAATCATATTGTAACAGATACAATACATTAGCAGGACTAACTGCAATGGTGGCAGAAAAAAAACTGTCATGCAGTAAATTTTTTCAAATATTTTCTGCAAGTTAACTGAAATCATACACTTTCCAATTAATGTATGTAAATTCCCAAAATTCAAAATCACACTGGATACAAGGTGAAATAGGTGTCAGAGATAGCCAGAGCTGTTCCATGTAATCTTCAGCTAAAATAGTACTTTTAAACAATTACATTTAATACCTTAAATTTTAGTTATCAAAAATCATACCTCGTCCAAAAGTGTTCATTTCAATTCAATTTTGAGCCAAAATTAAGAAGGCACAACAGATATAAATATAAAACAATGGTCTGAATCACTACGAACGTTCTGAAATGTGCTCTCTGATACAACTTTTGAGATCTTTAAAATATTGACTGCCTTGAAATACCAGCTTGAAAAAGCGATACAAGTTTGGAAACGATCTTGAATAACATTTCAGATGTTTTCATTTCTTACTGAAAGCAACCTTGAGCCTTCCCACAATCCGCTGCGGTGGAGCAGCCAGTAAGTTGCTGAATTATCTTCCCCTTCCATAGAGAATCTGACGTGTGAGAAATAGTTCTTTTTGTAGCTAATAAGACGATAAGTTATGTTAATGTATCCTCATGTCGTAAATATTCGCCAATATCAGCCTGGTGAAATACAACGACTGCCATTGGGTCTAATTTCCGACAGTCTTGAGTTGATTTTGCAGCAACTCCAAAGCCCTGGAGAAAATTAAGAAGATTTTTAAATTATGTAAATCGTACCAATGAACATTAATGGCATATTCTCAACATAGTCCTGAAAACCACATTGCCTATTTTGAAGGAAGGTCATTTGTGAACAGACAATAAGAGTCTGCAGTAATAAGAGTTACCAGTCTGCAAGTTATACTCAAATGATTACTCAGGTGTTTATATTACCTTTGCTTACAAATACACAGGCAATAATCCTTAGCATATTCTTTTTCTGTTTATTTTAATGTTTGTTCAGAGTAAAAATGATCCTATCCTCTTGCTTACCAATGGAACGTCAGCCATGGAATAAACCACAACACCTTGATACTGAGCCGTGTTCTCCGTAATTCGGCCCAGACCAGATTTCAAAACGTGGTTTCCATACAGGAACGATTGTTCAGATCCAGGCTTCACCCATACTTTGTACTGAAATTAAAACAAACACATTGTGCATTTTAGCAATGAGGACTGCGTGTGTGTCATTTAAGAAACCGTCTTGTCTCATATTTTCATTTATTAACCATTTCTAACTACATAATTTACATTGACTTTTTGCTGCTACTCAATTGTCGGAACGTAGAGACACCTACCTTAGCATAGGGAGCAAGGTAGTCGAGAGCCGTTACATGCAATCGAAATTTTGATGTTTTGGTGAATTTCCCAAAGCATGTTCCTAATGAAACAAGTTTATTTCGAGGTATACTTGTTGCCAGTTTCAGGATGGTCTCACTGTGGAAAAAAAACCTCAACAAATCAGGTAGGGAGCAAAACCTTCCCACCTAAAGTAGAAAGCATTGCACAAATAAACTGCTATGAAGGGAAATCAAACTATTACATAAATCTGAACTCAGAACAACTGAATATGAACAAATTCTATCATCCCTTGTCACATACAGGATTCTTTAAAGTGAAGGTTTTCCCCCCCAGTCAGACCAAGTAACGTCAGGTCTCACTTCTTACCTGACGTAATAAATACGATCGTTGTGTAAACGGAAGCAGTAGGTTCCGTCAGGACGATCCACTAGCAGCTTAATATTCTCTCCAATGCTGAAGAAAAAAGTTTTGAAACAGTTAAAGTGCAAAATGACATATAGAATGAATGAAATCAACCGTGAGCAAATCCGCAGATAAAAAATAAACATACCCCCACATTGAAATTTTGAGCTCAATTAAATTATAGTGCAGTACTCCGGGAATTTTGGAAGTGTCGTCCTTTGAATGAGATATTAAACCAAAATCTTGTATCCATGGATGACAAAGATCGTTTACTTTAATCAGACGGAGTAACCCACCTGTAAGCCGCCCGTATACAGAAATTTCCTTGTGCCTGGAATGAAATGTGCACACTTTTTTGGGGGGATGCACCCTTATTACTTAAAATTCTAAGAGTATGAGTCGTGTATCGGTGAGAAACGAAACTCTGGGTTTCCCCAGAGTATTACGCTGTTACATAATAAATAATCCTTGTTTTTAACCGCAGCACCTTATCACGCGGAGACGTCTCAAAACGCTTCACAGGATATACCTGTACCGTAAAATTCTACTGATCAGCCAGACTGGCCGGTCTATCAACACCCGCGTCCTGGAGTACCGCTGGGGCCGTCTGGCTCGGGGAATGGACCACCACAGCGGGGTACGCTGCCCAGCGTGTGCGCCTTGCGCCTGCCAGCCCACGCATCCTTCGCCTACGTCCTCCCGAGGAGGTCAGTCGCACGCCGGTCACTGAACTCCGAGGTGGTTCCGTGGGGCCCCCTCGCCAGCGCGAATCGCTGACAAATCCGCACCGGCTACACATCTGACAGCGCGGTCGCCCCTTTCGCAAAAGCTTTTTTTTTTTCGGGGGGGGGGGGGGGCGGGGGAGAGGGAGGAGGAGAAACTTTAGGACTTTACATTTGCAGGTGATGTGGATTATTCCCTGGACCCCCCCCCATTTTTTATTCTGTTTCTTCTTAACCCTGTACAGCACCAGCCTGACCCCACGCCGTGAGAGGGGGGGGGGCAATGACCACCATGACACGGGAGGGAGAGAGAGAGAGAGAGACCTGACAGATCCAAAGCTTTCAACGCTCGGGCCCAGGGCCCCACGCGAGGCCCCGGTGTCCCCCCCCCCCCACCCTCTCCCTCTCTCCCTCTCCCTGTCCTCGGGCCTCCTCCAGTTCCTCACTCCCCGGTCTCGGGGCGGGGGGTCGGTCGGTCGGTCGGACACTCACTATCTTGAGAGCTTCTCGAACAGGAGCCGCGTTTCTTCCTCCGTCAGCGCCGCATCCTCCTCCCCGGCACGTGGTGCGCTTCCCCCCCTCAGCCGCCTGTCCGCCCCGACCGCCTGTCCGCCCGACCGGAAACGGAACTCTGTGTCTGTGGTCGTTCCGTCCGGGCGGAAATCCGCGTCTCCCCGGCAACCAACCAACCAACCGCCCGCCCCGCCCGCCCGCGGCTCCCGTCACAGTCGAGCGCAGCGTTTTTAAACCCATCGTTTGTAAATTAACGGCCGCTCAGCGGCGGCCACCGAGACTCTCTCTCTCTCTCTCTCTCCCTTCCTTCCTCCCTCCCTCCCTCGCATCCCGTTCCCTCCCTCCCTCCCTCCCTCCTCTGCTTTCCTTCCCTCTCTCCCTCCCCTCGGTTGAAGATGAGTGGAATCAGTGGAGAAATGAGGCAAAGGTGACACAGCAGAGCCCTGAGCCCCGGGTGTGTGTGGGGGGGGAAGAGAAGTGGGAGCTATGATTTGTTACCCGCCAGTTAGCCCCGGGTTACTGACTGTGTGTGGGGGGGGGCTGTGTGTGTGTTGGGGGCTGTGTGTGTGCGTGTTGGGGGGCTGTGTGTGGGGGGCTGTGTGTGTTGGGGGCTATGTGTGTGGTGTTGGGGGGGGGGCTGTGTGTGTGTTGGGGGGCTATGTGTGTGTGTGTTGGGGGGGGGGGGCTGTGTGTGTGTTGGGGGGTGTATGTGTGTGTGTGTTGGGGGGGGCTGTGTGTGTGTTGGGGGGGGCTGTGTGTTGGGGGGGCTGTGTGTTGGGGGGCTGTGTGTGTTGGGGGGCTGTGTGTGTGTTTGGGGGCTGTGTGTGTTTGGGGGCTGTGTGTGTGTTTGGGGGCTGTGTGTGTGTTGGGGGGCTGTGTGTGTGTTGGGGGGCTGTGTGTGTGTTGGGGGGGGGCTGTGTGTGTTGGGGGGCTGTGTGTGTTGGGGGCTGTGTGTGTGTTGGGGGGGGCTGTGTGTGTTGGGGGGGGCTGTGTGTGTGTTGGGGGGGCTGTGTGTGTGTTGGGGGGGCTGTGTGTGTGTCGGGGGGGGGGGCTGTGTGTGTGTTGGGGGGGGGCTGTGTGTGTGTTGGGGGGGGGGCTGTGTGTGTGTGGGGGGGGGGCTGTGTGTGTGTTGGGGGGGGGCTGTGTGTGTGTTGGGGGGTGGCTGTGTGTGTGTTGGGGGGGGCTGTTTGTGTGTTGGGGGGGGCTGTGTGTGTGTTGGGGGGGGGCTGTGTGTGTGTTGGGGGGGGGGCTGTGTGTGTGTTGGGGGGGCGGCTGTGTATGTGTTGGGGGGTGTCTGTGTGTGTGTTGGGGGGGGGGGGCTGTGTGTGTGTTAGGGGGGCTGTGTGTCGGTGGGGCTCTGTGTGTGTGTGTGTGTGTGTGTGTTTGGTGTCGGGGGAGGGGGGGGGTGCGGGGTGACAGCCGGAACCTTTCTCCTGGGTCCGTGGCGCCGCGTTTCCCGCTGGTCCGGTCCCCGGGCTCCGGCTTCCGGTTGTTTACTCTCCGTTCGGTCTCCGGGGCCTCAGTCGGACAGTCGGTGGTTGTTGAGGGGGAAAAAAAAAGCCGCGAAACTAAATGTATGTTATAAACCAATAACATCGTATCAATAAAAAAAATGTGTTAACATTCCTTTATTTTACAATAATTTCGTTATTTTTTTTAAAAAAATTAAATAACATCCCCTCCCCCCACACACCCCCTCACACACACACTCCCCCCCACACCCCCAACACACACACACACTCCCCCCCACACCCCCTCACACACACACACTCAACATGAACGGAACAAACGGGGCCGCTTCGTGTCGGTGGCGATGGCCAGAAGATGGAGAAGCTGTCGGAGGGGCAGCGGCAGCGGTGGGTCCGGGACCAGCAGCCGCGGCCTGAGGGCGAGGCGGCGGCGGCGGCCACACGAGCGGATTGTCGCGGGCCGGAGACAGGTCAGTGTCCCGGTCTGGCCTCCCCCCCCCCCCTCCCTCCCTCTCCCCTTCTCCCTCCAGATCACAACAATAATATATTTTAAAATGCAAAAGGGATTAAACGACGGCTTAAGGAAGGCTTCATCGCACAGCCCCCGGCGCTCCGGCTCGTGACAGGAGACCGAGAATCCGGGGAGGGAGGGAGGGAGGGAGGGCGGCTTTACACTCGGGCTCCAGCCCTCGGCACCTGTTCGGCTGCTCCGAGACCTCGGGCTCACTCCCTCCCTCACTCCCTCCCTCACTCTCTCCCTCCCTCACTCGATCCCGGTTTGATCCCCATCCCGATCCGCTCGCAAAGTCAGTGTGGGGGGGAGTGGGGGGGCGCTTCGGACCCGTCGTTCGCTCGGGCCGTCTTCCCCGCCGACGAGTCGCGACTTCTGCCAAAACTTTGCACACTCCATAAAAGCTGACGGCAGCGCCGGGGCCGCCACAGAGGGGAAGGGAGGGAGGGAGGGAGGGAGCCATCCCACTCAGCTCCTGCCCACCCCGCGAGGTAACGAGCCCTCGCTGGACATAGCAGAGCTCTATCGGCGACGGAGGCTGTGTAAGTTCCGACTGTGGTTAAACTCCCAACAGTACCCCCCCCCCCCCCACACACACACAGTGATGGCTAAGAGTAATTTTTTAAAAAAATGACCCTCAACAAACTCACGCATGAACTGCAATAGGGCATACGATCGGCTTCCATCAATCTGATGGGTTTGTTGGCGACTGACTTTGTTGGCGACTGACTGCTGATTTATTGTTTTGTAAAATAACCCGCGGTGGGGGGTGGTGGGGGGGGGTGGTGGGGGGGGGGTGGTGGGGGGGGTGGAGGGGGTGGGGGGGGGGGGGTGGAGGGGGGTGGGGGGGGGGGGGGGTGGAGGAGGTGGTGGGGGGGGGGTGGAGGGGGGTGGAGGAGGTGGGGGGGGGGGGGTGTGAGCAGAGAGAAGTCGAGACAGTTTGATGATGAAGAAGCTGCAATGTACTTTTTTGTGTGGTGCACGTGAGAAGCTTCGGTCTGGCAGATTGTACGAGAGAGGTTACAACGATAGTGTTCCAGTACGTGGTCTTCCCGGATGTTCCAGGAACTCCACGTACTTGAAGGACTCAACCGGCCGCTGACCCCCCCACCCCCCCCCCCCCCGTTCCCCCCTTTTTTGAAGATGCATAACCAACTTAAATTAACTTTCCGTTAATGGCCACTATTCGAACAAAAGCCGGAGAAGCACAGGAAGGACCGAGATTTGGTGGAGTGGCGCAATATCAAAGGTTTACACTTGCACTTACACTTGGAAGTGCAGGTCCAAGTTGTCCAATAGACAGGCGTTTGGGAGATGCAGCTATTGCAATGGTTATGGTCATGTCAGACAGTCTAGTCCTTGATCCCCTTAACATTCAACAAGTATTTGCAACAGATCAGCTCCGAAGTGCCAAGAGGCACCAGTGATATTCGCTTGTCTTACATCAATAGATTCTGTGATTTCCTGAAGGAAATCAGATGAACTACTGAACCGTAACTTGGAAAATCTGAAGAATCAGTGACTGAGTCTCCTTATCTATGATCCCAGAGTTTATTTGTAGGACATCCAGCAGCTTGATGAGAACTCCATCGCCAGTGAAATCAAAGTCTTTAAATATCTAACCTCACAAGAATGCTTCCCACATAGAGAATTTTGATGTAGAGCTAATATCCAGCAACTCAGTGGTGCACCACCCTAATACAGCAATGTGCTGTAGCACCAAAATCCTTTTCGCATCTTTTAAATACTGTATCTAAGGGAAGAAATAATACTATTTTGATTTGTAAAACTAATTGCTAGTTTCAATATTTTAGCGAGTACCCCAGAAATGGATTTCTTTCAAAGTGCCTTTCCTAAATGTCAGCAATTTAATACACACGATGAACTAACTTCCTTAAATATTAGTTCTCAGCATAATTTACATAAAATAACAAATGGTAAATTTTTAAACAAAATTTCCTCCCCCTTTTCTATCAGCTGCACCTATTGTTGTGACCACCAGCTATTGCCGCCTCTGCCATGGCAAGTTTTCCTCCAGGAGTTTGCGGAATGTCTTTGCAAAGGTTCCTCTGATTGACACAAATCCAGAGAGGCAGCGAAGAGCACAACAAACTTTCTGTGCCGATTTCCAGAGGCTGGTTGGCATTGTGGTAAGGCAGGATCCCACCTTGCCCCAGTTTATCTGCAGAAACTGTCACGCTCAGTTTTATAAATGCCGGAGTATCCTGCGAAATTTCATTCAACGAGTGAATTCTTCTCCCGTGGCTCCCGTACAGCGAGGACAAGAGGCGGGCAGGTACCTGAAGACCAGATGATTAATGTGTGTGTTATTTAATGTGTGTGTTATTTAATGTCACTAATGTACATAGTTAATTTATAACGTGTGCAGTACTCTACACCTGAGTGTCTGTTATACACAAGTATAACTTGAAAAGAAAATGTTGAAAAGTATATTCAGCTATTATTTAGCATCTCCAGTCCAGTATTGGTCGGCTGAAGAAGGCACTGTGTCTCTATCTTAGTCTTGTTTTTATTTATTGTCTTGTTACACCACATTAGCCTTACACTCATTTGGGGTGAAGGAACTTGTACTTTCTTTGATATCGTTTCCCACTTGTGTCTTGATTGATAGCTTAGGTCTTCACAGTCAGACGGGTGGATGGGTGGGATAATTAATTGGGTAAATAGAAAGCATTGAAAGCTTCACTAAATATAATTGTATGTTTTGACCACATTTCAAAAAATGCATAAAGGTAAGAGGCTTTTTTAAATTTTTTTTAGTATTTTGTGATAGGTTTCTTTACTCCTTAGAAAGATCAGCAGATGATAGATAAGTTACTATTTTTTTTCATCGTCAACTGTAACTGAACAAAGAGCAACATTGATGTTAATTGTCAGAGCATTCCATATAAATGCCCTTTTTATTAGCTACTGGATCAAGGCATAATTTGCCCACAGCAAATAGGAATTTAACTCACTGTTGTTTCACATTTTGAATAAATGGGAGTTTTTGTGTTGTACAATCATAAATAATAATCCTTGCATTTCATATAGCGCTTTCCACTTCGGGGGGACATTGCAAAGCATTTCATAGGATATACTGTAAAGTGTAGCAATTGTATTTTGTAGGCGAACATACAAGAAGGGCATGTAGTTTATAAGTGCAGTAAATTTTACATTTTCAACCTCAGTTGAATGTAATGATTTTTTTTCTATTGTAGGTTTTTTGCAGCCACTGAAATGTCATTCACACCATCACTTTCACAGCCTCCATTAGGTGATTCAATTCCTGGTAAGTGAACCAGAGCGCAGTGCACAATTAGCTGGGTGTTTCACCTATATTAGTCGAGAAATGAAGTGTAGAACGAATTGGAAATTGCTGATAATATTTTCTGTTTGCATAGTACCAGGCATCATAATGACTCATTTTTGAATGTTCAGTTATTGTTTACGATTTATAGGAAAATGCAAAAATAATTATGTAGCACAAATGTTTACTAAACATAGGAGGTTTCATTTATTTTGAAACGCGCTGCTTCAATCTACAGTACTGGATGTGGTACAGATTGTTTTATTTGCTTCTGATTTTTTTTAGATATCAAACATATGCTAAATGATAGACTCTTAAGTGCAAGCCCACAATGTCTGCAGATTCTAGTCACTTGGGCTCACCATCATGGCAGTAGCTGCAAATCCACACCGAGCCTTCAGAGCGTCTTATCTGCAGAGTATCGTGGAGTGGTTGGAGCTGTGTGGGGCTGCCAGGAGGGGCACAGTTATATCCTGGACACACATTTAAATCACAGTGTTTCACTTAGTGAAGAGCACTGCCCACGCAAAGAGAATAATGATCCAGTGAAAGAGGAAATTGTGGAGAGCACATCATCACGCCTGTCTTCCCAGAATGGATCGGGCCCCGAAAATGGCGAGGGCAGGTCTATCTCGAAGCCTCAGCCAGTCCCAGTGTCACTTTGGTCGTTAGACTGCCAGCCTTGTACACACAGTGGGGTTGGTTCACAGCCAGCAGACACAGACAATTCAGGCCAATCGTCATTGAACAAGGACATGTTTTTACGATCACAGCCTGTTGGTGTTGAATGCTCTTGGGAAACACTTCACTTGCAGGATGCTACTCGGGTTTTAAAAGCAAAAGGTAAGAGCTTTATTTAAATGCTAGTTTTCAAGTTTTATTTAAATGCACTAAAATAACTAAACTTGCAGTAAAATGAAAAGCTGAAACGTAACTGGAGCAATGACACAAACCAGCAGCTGGTACATTATTTTGAAGTCTGTTAATGAGATGATGTGAAAACAGTGTAATAAACGCACTTGTTGGGAACTCCTCCTACTTGCTGTTGATATAACTATATACTGTATTAGAACGTGTTAAGCCTTGCCTCCCGCATAACCAAAATTATCCATTGCCTCTGAAAGACAAATTCCTGTCAGAGGTGAAGAGATCCTATTAAAAGGTTAAGTCTGCACTGACATTTATGCAGAAGTTAACTGCATGTCAGAGTGGTTTATTTTTATTACTCTTTAAAGATGCAGTGTCACTGTTTGTACCTCTTATGCCAACATCAGAGAAGTGACTTGCCTCAGGAATGGCCTTGCAGATTGAATGCTACAAGCAGGTTTTTTGTTTTTAGAGTTGATTTCTGATTCTGATTTTAGAGTTAATTTTATCTGATGAAAGGATCAAGTACTGCGATACTTGGTGTTAATGGCTTGGTAATCGTGCTTAATGTAGCCACGAAAACTTGTTCCGCTTTGTTTCTTGCTCTACCCTAACTGTTGTAACAATTTTTTTTACTTTCGTCACCAATAGGTCAAATGAGCTGCAACAAAGCATCGTGTTCCATTATGGTTGATGCCGCTGATGGGTTAGAGTCCAGTGATCTCTCTGATAGGTAGGAGTCATTACTGCCAGCGGTGTTTCTACTGAGACAATGTACAACGTTCAGTTGAAAGTTTCGCTTGGAACTCAGATCTTCATGCTCCGTGATTGCAAGAACTCTAAGAGCTCTAGCTAATGTTTAATTTGTGATGTTGCTTCATATAATATAATTCAGATTTGCTGAACAGCCAGCAGCAGCCTTTAAAAGGTTTAACAATTAAGACTGTTGTAAATTGCCGAGTGATCCAGCAATTCAAGCGTGAGAATGGAAAGGGAATTCAAAGGCTTCAATTGGAACTATATCTTTTACCTCTTCCTATTAATTTTGTTCTTTGTAGATATCTGTCAAGTGAAGAAGACCAAGGGGAACAAATGAAGAGTGGCTCCTCAGATGAGTCCTTTCAGCCGCACTGGGAGAAGAAGTGAGTCCTCGACAAGCTAAACTGCAAAACCTTCACCTTTTATAGGCCAAACTTAACTTAGATTTGCACTAAGTACTTCCCAAGTGGCATTCGTATATTAATATATGGATTTGTTTGAACTTCTGTTTTGCTTCTTCGGTGTGTGTCATTCTCTGATTGCTAGTTAAGGAGAATACACAACTGTTTGAAAATTACTGAAGTGGATTGAAAAGGCTCCTTGTACAAACTACAACAGTGAAATCACTGGTGCACGAAACTAAATTTTCAACTCAGCCATGAATGTGATTTAATCTCGTCTCCCATCAGTTAGTCCAGAGAGCAGCTTTTTAAAAAAACTTTAGGAGCATAACGACAGTGAGATGACTGTCCCTGTGAAGGCTTAGCATTGAAAATCACGATTATTGTTAGGACTTTGAGCACAGAAAATATGCTTTCATACCTCCTGGGATTTGTGTATGTGTTTGTGGAAGGGGAGGGTACTGGTGAATGGGCAGATTTTTGTTGAAAATACAATTCGAATATCGGGTACAATGTAAGGTATAGATAAGTAGATAAGATTGATTTAGTTTGATTTAAGCACGTGTTCTTAGGCAAACACAGCAGTCAATTTACACACAGCGATGTCCCACAAACGGCCACGAACAGAATGTCAAGTTGTTCTTTGGGAGATTGTTGCCCAGGACACTGGGAGAATCTCCTCTGTTTGAGTTGCATCTTGGGATTGTTAATGTCCATCTGGACCAGCATCTAATAAAGAACGTTGTTACACTGGCAAACGAGGCTGCTAATCTGTATCAACAATGTCCCAATAACAATGAGGGAAAATAAAATTTGAGGAAGGCAGAGAAAAGGGAAACATTTTTTTAAAATCTGGAAAATAAAGGATAAGAGGGAGGTGGTTTGTACAGAGGGTTAGAAGCCTAGGTTAGGCACTGTCTATCCCACTGTATGTTTGTTTTTCTTTCTGTGGGTCTTTGAATGGTAACATGTAGATAGAGAGATAGTTAATTATTCACATAATTCTGCAGACATTACCCTGATGGTTCGACATCAACAGTTCTTCAGTACGTGGACAGTTTCCAACTCAGTTTGAAACAGGTGCAAACGAAAAGCTGAACAATAATGTATGTTCTTTTCTTTCAGTAAGATACCCAATAAAAAATGTGATCGTAAAGAAGTCAAGAAACCAACAGGGCAAAAGCGAGGCCGCAAACCTAAACTGAATTCTGAAAGGTACTTACATTTCTTCTGGATAGGAAAGAGGGCTGGCTGATATCCTGTGCCTTTATCGGTTCCTTAGTTTCATGTGATTGTGATTTGTAGGAACCACAGATTTATCATTTGAATCTTATAGTGTAATTTTGGAAGTCAATTTTATAATCCAGGTATCCTTATAGATACATTAAACTGAACTGATTGATACACCAGAATGAATAATTTGGAGGTGAACGTGTGCTTTTTTCAGGGAAGATCTGCCCACCATGTACAGATGTCAGTACAAGGGTTGTTGTGCAGTTTACAGAGGAGCTGATGGACTGAAGGTAAAACCACACTTGAAACTAGATAACACTTGGAATTGATGCCACATGATTTTATAACACTGTTTCAGATCAGTTTTAAAACTTTCTTGGAGTTATTTGGTAGTTGCTAGGTGGTCCTGAACTCTAGAAGGTACATTGGGTTAATTTCAAGTGTTATTTTTGTGCTGAGCTTGTTTCTGTTAATCTGGTTTGTTTTAATACAAAAACTTCCCTTGGAGTTTTGTTTTCTTCTGATATTTACTGGATAGATCTGAAGCCTGTATGCTTTCGCGCTCTGAGATGCTACCGGGTGAAAGGTGCTATATAAAAGCAAGTTGTTGTTGTAAGTCTTTTATTGGTGTGTTGGGTCACTCTTTCAGCCATCCATTCTGCTAAACAGCGGTAGACAGATTGTGTACAAAGCTCAGGCATAGTAATAATCGACTGTTCAAAGCTATGGCTTGGCTTCTATATGGATGGATTATATTTGTAACTGAAATGGTCATCTTTACATACGTTTGGCCTGTCAAAAGATAGTAGCAAAGTATTTCGAGTTCAGTAACTAGGACCAGAGAAGCTGGGAATGACTTGCTGTTAAACGATAATGAAGATGTGATGGTTGCTGAATTCCACATTTTCTGCTGAGTAAACCAATTTTTTCAATTTTAGAAACACATAAAAGAACATCACGAAGAGGTGCGTGAACGACCCTGCCCGCACCCAGGGTGCAACAAGGTGTTTCTGATCGATCGTTACCTACAACGTCACGTGAAGCTCATTCACACAGGTATAAGAATTTATATTGATCGGTTCCCTGGTTCTTCTGGTCTGGTAATTCAGTATATCGGCTAAGTTAGAAAGATGCCTATTCATGTATTGTATTACTCCTTCATTACTTGTTCTTGAAGGCAAGCAGGGATGTATTTAGCCAAGTGCAGTGCCCAGAGTAGATCTGCTTTCAGGTTTGTACTAAAACACAATTTTGTTGTCCTTACAGAGGAGAGGAATTACATCTGTGATGAGTGTGGACAAACATTCAAACAGCGAAAGCATCTTTCAGTTCATCAAATGCGCCACTCAGGAGCAAAACCTCTACAGTAAGTATTGGAACTCTGAATATATTTTTAAAAATGCAGTTATAAAAATGACCATGCATTAGTAAAGATGTTATCAATCTGGGCAAAGCCTGGCACAATGGTGTGTGTATCGCAGGTTTTGATTATTTTAATGATTTCTCAAAACATTAACCATCTTATTCAGAAACGTGACTTTTGCCATCGTGAGGAATTTCCAACTTGAATTGTCGCACTCGACGTCAATGGGACTGCGAGAGTGACAGGTTATCAATGGCATCTAATAATATTTCATTTGGAGGGTATAATCTGGATTGTCTGTTTCCCCCACACCTCCCCTTTACAGGTGTGAAATTTGTGGTTTCCAGTGCAGACAAAGAGCATCCCTGAAGTACCACATGACGAAGCACAAGGCAGAGGCTGAACTTGATTTTGCCTGTGACCAGTGTGGGAAGCGGTTTGAAAAGGCGCACAATCTGAACGTTCACATGTCTATGGTTCACCCTTTGACCCAGAACACAGATAAAAACAAACCAACTGAGACTGCTGAAAAAGAATTAACGAACAAGACATTCACTGACCAGGATCCCAGTTAGTGAACAGTTACCTGCTAGCAAAGGACCCATGTACACAGTAAGATATGGAATATTTACACCTCATGGTTTTTCAGTGTCAGCAGGACCTGCGTTGGAACAGATTGACCTTTTACTTATTTGAACAACAGGGAACCCAGATTCAACAACAAAAAAAACTCATCAAACGGCATCAATTTCCTTTCAAATGTAACTACATGTACCTAACAAACTTAGGTGTCTAAGTGCCAAGCTCTACTTGCTGTTTATAGCTTTGAAATGTAGATTTGGATAACCAATAATTGTTAACTTGCAGATAAGAGATTTGGATGAGTTGTCTGAGGACGTTGCTTATAATTACACTGATTTAAAACAGATTTGCAACTGAATGAGTATCGTGCTTAATGAGAGTACTGGAAGAGGGTTTGATTGATTTCCCACTGATTGCCTTCCATTTCACTTCTGTTAGCCAGTGAGCACAATTCTGGCTTGAATGTAGATAGTTTGTGTAGTTCATTGAATACCCAGACCTCAAAAAGGGAACTGATTTTACACAATGAGCTTTCAGCCCCTTAGCTAGATTATTGAATAACTCTTTAAGTATGAAATCAATGTGATGGTTGCTGAGGTTGGACAGAAATGTTATCACCGACAGATAAGTTACGCAGAATGCTATCATCAAATTGGCATTCTAGCACTAAATACATTTAAATATAATTTTACTAACTATTGCCTCATTTATTCACTTATTTAAATAATGTTTAATGTAATCCTGCTAAGAGCCCACTTTGGTGCTGGCAGTAAACAGATTCTGGAGAGTGAAGCAACAATAACAACTTGAATTTAGATAGCGCCCTTCATGCAGAGTAGTGTCTCAGTGCGTTGGCAGATGTAAGCATCAATCGTGAAAGTACTAAAACAAATTGAGGTGCCTTCGCTGTGAACATGCAGTGCAAGAGCAGGGCAAGATTCACATTCACTTAATATGACTTTCTTTGGAGCATTTTTTCAGCTGACAATACAATTTTTTCTGAAGGGCTACCTGATTTTGCTATGGATCAACAGAATATAGTGTGTGTGTGTGTATATATATATAGATATATATGTAGTGTGTGTGTATATATATATATATATAGATATATATAGTGTATGTGTATACATTTTGTGTGTATTTTTTATATATTTATACATTTTATATATATACACACAACATACATAAGAAATCAAAGCGCCAAACAAATCTAAGGGAAATAATGAAGCTGGGTAAAAATTTTTATGCAAGGTAGATGAAAGTTAACGAAACGTAACAGCTTGCGCAATAACTTTCAAATTATCCCTTCTTCAGGAAATGTGCTGTTCAGTACAGTTTACAGTGCAGTAACGGTTTGTATTGTGCAACCTACATTCTTTGTGTTTGTATTATATATATAGACTCACACACACATATGTAAATAGATTGGAATTTGCTTTTCTAAGTAATTTCTATACGTCTAATGTACTGAGCCACAATTCCGTCAGTTTAAACTGAAGGAATAGTTTGTCTATCATTTGGTACTAAATGAGTATAATTTAATGCAAAGTCATGTTTTAAATGTTGACGAATGTTGTAGAAAGTCTTTAAGACTTATCAAATGAACTGTACAGAATGGTTTATATAAAAAAAGTTTTTAATTAACAGACTAATTTGTAATATATTTGGAAAGTTCAGTGAGCAATACAGTACATGGTGATTGTCTATTGTAGCACCAGGTATTGATATTTTTTCCAGACTACAGTAGATTATTTCTAAAGATGAGATGGGAAGCAGCTCTAGACACCATCAAGGTTCAGAACTGCTTTCTACATAATAGGATTGTACACAGATCTTTCAAGGGCTGTTCCAGTCAATTTTGAAGTTCCGGTTGGTTTATTTGATGACTTGACTATCTGGATACATGTAATCAGAAGTCATACAGTACAATTTTGTTCATATTTGTACTCAGCATCTGGTACAATCATGTTTTGCATCCTGACTAGACACACTAAAACTTGTTTTTAATGACAGTCAAGTCCACCTATGAATTTCTCAACTAATAACTAAAGGTCAAAATTCAACTTTAGGTTGGTTTGTTTTGAACATACGTCGATAGCGCAAGATCCAAACAATCAAAATAATAGTAAGGATGACATGAAACCGTACCTTTTACTGACAAACTCCAATAAATCCATTCATAGTTTTTCATTTGATTAAAATTGATTATATTGTTCCTTGTTGCATGAAGTTTCTTAAAATGTTATGCGTTACTGCAGTTTTAACATCTATCTACACAAGGAACTGAACCAAACAACATTTTTTGATTAATATCAGAGCCAGTTTAGAGTATCCTATAGTCATCCCCTCTACCTCAATTTCACTTCCAGTGAAAACTAGGTTGTGGTCATGAAAATACTTTACTGGATATATTTTTTTTAAACTCACTTAATGACAGTTCTGCAGAATGTGCACCACAACTTTTACTATTGGTACCTTGTCCTTCAAGTCCAAGTTATTCAGCAGACTGTGGTCATTGAAGTTGGTTGTAGCTTTAAGTTTTGTAGGGATAAGATGGCTGGTTTTGAAACACTGCGTATTGGCAAAGCAGTTAAGCACCTTTAATTGAATTATGTGTTGATGCTGAAATCAATCTTGTTGCACGCTAAGTATTTTGAACTGCAAATTTATGGCACTTTTCAAAATGAGATCACTATTTTAATAAAGTTCCTTTAAGAAAATGCTGCAGTGCTTGCTTGTGTGCTTAGTTAAAGTGAGGGACAAAAGTTCCTGGGCTGGATTCCTTTTGTCATTAAAAAGATATGTTTTGAGAGCGCCTCGCGAGTGTGTAAGAACCTGAGGTACTGGATTTTAATATGTTAGTGTTACAGCAAGTGATACAGGCGGCACTATCCAGGTTCTACCAACACCAAAAATAGTTCCAAAAAAAATTCATAATCTGTTAAACTTGACCCAATTCTATTTTTTTTATAGCAAATCAGGCTCCGAGTACTGTTCATCACTTTTGCCGACCTGCAGATTGTGGTCAAGTTTGGCTTTCACCTCCGGGTCAATGTCCTTACAAACTTCCTGTAGCTAAAGACACAATTATACAAAATTTTTAATATGTAGATGGTACAAAATGCTAGATATTTTCCCTTATATTCAACAAATACTATAACATAAACACATAAAAATATGCCATCTATTATCAAAAAGAGACAATACTCCACCACAAATATTTCTCGCTCTTCAAAATGGAATTGTGGAATCTTTGGCATACAGACCAGAAACTATTTAATGCATTAAACAATAAACTATTTAATGGATTACAGGCTCAAGTCCAAGTGTGGGGCACAGACCCATACACTGATTCCAGAGGCAAGAATATTACACTCTTAGCCAAACACCCAGATTACATTACTTCACTATGTTGTTAATGCCAGATTGATTAAATTAGATGTCTCTGGCTCTCTCTATAAAAAGTGTTGAAGATTAAACAAATTGTTTCATCATTATATGGAGACTTAATACTGGATTTCTATTGTATGATTTAGATGTCTATTTCAATAGCCATTTATCTTATTTTTCCTCTCTTCACCCCCCACCCCCATAAAATAATGCTTACTTGTTTGCGTTCTGAGTTTGTCTGTCTAGGACAGCATGGAATTGTACGAAGGAGGAAGTGTCGTCCGTGAGTTATTAATCCCAGAAGGTCAGGCTGAGAAAAGAGAAGTAAAATGGATTGCGACTCTTGTTCTCTTCAGGACAAGTAGACATTTTAAAGCTTGAACACTGCCGTACGCAATTGGCTGCTGCGTTTCTCCCACAAATTATAGTCGATTCGCTTTACAGTACATTCCATGAAGTGTTTTGAGACGTCTTGAAGATGTGATAAGGCACTATATCAAATGCGAGGATTATTATTGTGGGCACAGAATATAGAATGAAATGTTGTATAAGCTGGAAGCAAATACTATGCACGCAAGGTAAATGTGGTCAGCTGGTCAGAAGGAGAGGATTGTCTCTGTTATCAGTGGCCTGAAGCTGTGCAGTAAGTACATTTACCTGCTCAGGGGTTTGTACTGCACAGTAATCAAAGGCTGGGACGACACCTTCTCCATCAAGATAGAGCTGGCCCATTGCTGCGTACATCGTGACAGCGATCAACAGGAACCCTGGGCGCTTGATAACCGAGGAAAGCAACGTGGAGCCCAGATCAAGAACCAACCTGTTGTGGAAATAATGGACAGTTATGAAACTTTTTTGGGGAAAAAAAAGGACTCTAAATATGGTATACAGAAAACAACAACTTGCACTTATATAGCGCCCTCCACACAGGCTAGCATCTCAGGGCAATTACAGTCATTTTTAATGTGTGAAATAGGAACACTCAGTCTGTACACAAGATGGCCTTACAGTTACAGGAGCCTGATCACCCCTTTCTTTGAGTAAATCAGAATCTTTTCTTGAGGGATCAATAATGGGCATCAATGTTTCATTTCAATAGTTAAGTCTTAGATCAGACTTTTAAGCACTTAGCAATCCATCCAGTGCTCCAAATCTACAGGGGTTTCAGAGTAAAAATTCACTTTGGTAAACTTTAATATCATCTGTGAAGTGATTGCACTTAAATCAGGCTGCTTGGAGCTGCAGAACTTGTAATTCACTTAAGAATCTGTGGTTCTGTGTGTGTGTGTGTGTGTGTGTATATATAACACAAGCTAAGTCAGTCCACCAGGAATTGAAAGCAATTTACGGAAGAAAGTCAGAATAGGTTTCAAAGTTATACCTGTAGAATGCAAGCGGAAGTAATCGAATCTGCACGTCCGAGATCATGCTGTGTAGGATCTGATGAGGCCCACAATCTGTCAGAGGAAAAGATCCCGTGAGAAACGTCACTCAAGTCATCTCGTGGGATATTGTTCATTACAACTTTTTGTCACGACTCGGTGCCTCTGGCTCCCCCCAGTCACCGGGATGAAACAGAAAAGTAAAATTATTATTGATCAAGTTTCAAGGTTCCAATACAATCTACTTGTTACCATCTGAAAAGCAATTCCATCACTGCACGTAATGTGTTTCGGCAGGTCTCCCTCACACTGCTAGTTCGGATTCTGTGAATACAAGATGTGACTGACGCAAGGTACTAAGGATTTTAAGGGAAACTGCATTAAACGTTCTCTCTTCATCTAATCAATTGGCAGAACAAGTTCAAAGGGCAGACTGGCCTCTTGTTCCTAATATTTAAAAAAATCCATAACTCTTCTTCTGCTTCATTACAGGGGTAAGCTCTCTGGGATGAGTGAAAGGCGCTATATAAATATAAGTTGTTGTTGAATGTGTGATGACAGGAGCAGGAGAAATTTACAGGTAAATAAGGAATAGAATGACCTACCTTTGTCTGTCACCAGGAATACATGAAGCCAGGGTTTGTCCTGCTCCTCTAAGGCTCTCACCACATCAGCACACGTTTTTACTGCAACAGTTAAATCTAAGGATTCCTTTTAAAACAAGAAACGTTATCAGATGCTTAAACGAATAGTTTCAAAGCAAATTACAGACCAGCCATCTCAAGGGGTTTCTGTTTCTTATTGATTTATATTCATAAGCAAAAAGCACACAATGAAGAAACGGACTCCAATATGCAGTCCATATCCCTGTTTATACAGTATTACAAAACCAGAAACAGACCCATTAACGCAACACCAGTTTATCACGCACACGACTGGGAGTAAATTGTAATCAAGATCGCTGACAGCAGTCTGGAATAAAATAATGAATACAAGTTGGTCAGATATGCCTTCGCTTTGAGTTCCTCCCGCACTGTAACCCCCTGAAACCTAACCGAGTGGCCAGACAGATTTTTCTGGTATGCAATGCAATGTGTTTACCTTTGGCAGCAGGGTGGATGAGATGAGATCCATCAGACTGAGAAACAACACGGAAACCTGGAGCTGAAATAAAAAGGATCCAACTGTACAGGTAAGAGAGTACCTGGTTTTAGTGCTTCTATCCCGGGTTACAAACTGCATTTTGTAGTGTTGCACCTTTCTCAGAATCCAGTACAGCGACTCATTTACTCTAACACCACAAGCAATATTAAGACTTAAGTAAAAAATGTCATTTTAAAATGAACATTTAAAAATTAGAAAACACCGGTTTTCTTTCTAACATACAGAGTGTTAAAGGTTAATATTTCTTGGCTTGCAAAGGGCTGACAGATCTTGGATGTCATTAAAGAAATGTATCACATAAATAATAATAATAATAATCCTTACATTTTGTATAGCACCTTTCACATTGGGAGAACATTTCAAATACTTTAAGGTGGACTGACTGTGTGTCGTGGGTGACAATTTGCGCACAGTATTGTCCTTCAGAGAGCCGTGAAGTGAAGGATCAAAGGAAGAAAGTATTTGTTCTGATGTTTGGTTTACCTGTTCGTTTTCTGCACATATCTTTCTCATCACAGTCTCGAGGCCCCAGAGTCTATTCTCCCTTCGGAATGTGAAATATAAAAAGGCACCCAGTATCCAGGGAGCATCAGATGGGGGATCGTCAACTGTACCTGAGAGTAATCTGCAAGATTTAAAACCAAATCATCACATGAATCTCGTATCAATGTGCTGTAATTCAACCTGCAACTGCAGCTTGTACATCCAGACTCACTGAGGTGACTTCTCTAAACGGCTGTTATTGTGAAGCAGTTTTTTTTTTAATTCCTAAGTTATTAAAATCGCTACACACACTGATACAGCACAAAAACAGGCCACTTGGCCCAACTAGTCCCTGTTAATGTTTGTACTCCTCACAAGCCCCCACCCCTCCTGTTCCCCTCACCCATACCTCTCTTTTCCTTTCTCCCTTAGTTATGCTTATTTTTTTCTTCATCCACAGCTTCAGGCAGTAAATTTCACATACTCATCACCTTCTGCGTGAAGAAGTTCCTCCTGAACGGTCCTATTAGATCAACTACTTGCGAGCTACCTTATGCAGTTTTTAAAGCCCTCTAGTATTTGGACACACCAACAAGTGGAAACAGTCCATCAACATCCATTCAAATACACGGAAATGTATCCGCTAAAATATGTCTGAGTCAGAGGCTCCCGTATATCAGTATATCAGGTCTTTCTTGCCTCTCACCTGTTGGCCCAGCAATGATCCTCTGCCAACCTCTGCAGTTCTCTGGGAAGTGAAGCCTCACTGAACCTCTTCCACTGTGTAACGAGGACCGGCTCTAGTCTTGGCCACCACCACTTCAAGATACAAGAGACTGGCATCAGCAGCGTTAACAGTAAGGCTAGACTAAGCAGTTTTATCTTCCAAGCAAGGGAGGTGACCAAAGTCGCAGTCCAAGGGGTAGGTCTTAAGGTGGGATTTAAAGGTAGATACGAGCTACAAGCTTCAAAAGGAAGAAAAGATTGATCTCAGGGGGCGGGTGAAGGAGGTGGTGAACATCTATTTACTGTTGGACACCATCATGAATCAGTGACGCCGCTGAGAACTGTGGGGTGGTGGATAGTGGTAATATTACTACGTGTAGAGCTGTGCTTACCGCTGCAGACAACAGGAGCAGGGGGCAGCGTGCTCTGCACTCATTCAGGAAAGCAGCAAGGACATGATCTGCTTCTTCACAGTCAGCACAAGCACTAAGCAAACCCTGAAACAGAGAGAACCTCCTGCATGTTAATTCCATTGTAATCCACACTGATGTTACTTTAAGAGTGCAAACTTGCCATCATTTCCCTCCTGGTTCCATTTCAAGCTGTGTTATGTGTAGGTATACTGTACACGATATATTATAAAATATTTAAATGCAATAAACAACTGCTTCAGGGATACTTGTTTTGGAGATACAGCTGACATTTCACCCTACAAAGCCAAGTCTCTGTAAAATCTAACCTGCAAGTGTGCGAGGGTTATTATTGATTATTGTTTTTAAACAAATTTTAATTACAAGAGCAGTAGTTCTAGCAAAGCACTCTTTCCCACTTCTCCATCTGCCTTCAGGTTTATTGATTACAGATTTCCGCATAGGGCTAAGACATCAATGATCAGAACTGGACTTTCTTACTCTGAAGAAGTGTGCGGTACTGTCATAAAGGATCACACCGTCTTTACAGTAGCCATTCCTCTGCAAACAAATGAAACAAAGTGTTAAAAATTAACATCCTTCAACGATTACAAAGTGTTCACGAAAACCACATTCACTGCCGCCAAGTTATGGGATCTGAAAAAAAACTCAGCGGGGCAGCAATAATTAGGTTCACCAACTTTGAAACAGGTTTATATGAATACAACAACAACAAGATTATATTTGTTTAGTGCCTTTCACGTCGGGAGGATGTCCCAAGGCACTACCCAAGAATAGCATTGAGTGCTGAGAACGAAATAGCTCTGGGGCTTTTATTGAAATCAGAAAGCAAGTGAGTCTTTCTTTCAATATCTGCAAGAATCTTTAATATCACTAAAGACAGCATCACTGTCATCTGCCTGAACGGGATTACAGCACAGAACAGTTTAACATGGCACTTGGGGCTCACAAAATCCCTGCGCATGTATGTCAGCAGCAATTTGATGAGCAGGAAATTGGCCATTTTTGTTTTTAGTGTGCGGAAAGCCAGACACACGGCCTCAAGAAACTTGTGATCTAAGCAGTTTTGTGATCATAAGGAACGTGCTCTAATGGGGATCTACTGTATTCTTTGTAACATTTTCATCGATTGTCACCAGCTGTGACTTGGTAGTTCAGTAGGCGTTTTATTCTCTCAGGTCAAAGTCTGTGTGTATTAATAGTACAAGTTTCTAACACGATTGATTAGACTTCAGTGTGATTCCCATCAGCAGACTTACCAGCTCTTTATTTGTGAAGTGAAAGAACTCCTCACATTCCACAGTGACCGTCAGTCTCTCCTCCCGAGTCCGAAACAGCGCACTGGGAGGAAGTGCTACGAGAATCCTGATTTCAAATTCACAGAGAAAACAAAAAAATCAGGACAAAAACATAGACAACGTGGAAAGGGGCGAGAGAGTAAAGAGCAACACAGGGACTATACTACTTTATAATTGTAAATTAGCAGCAAGCAACACGCAGTCAATAGATAATGTGGGTGGCATAAGTCATGTCATGGTGGGTTCAGATAAAGCTGCAGGATTGCATATAAATATAGTGCACCAGGCGTGCAATCAGCAAATCTTCAGATTGATTTATCCCAGAAAATATTATTCAGATTTTTATGGTACATTATTGGTGCGATAACAAAATACGCTTTGTCCGTACAGTATAAATGCTGTGCGGTGATTTTGTCTATCTCCCAAGAACGCTGGGATTGTAGAATGTATGTGCTTTCTTTCCACTCTCACCTTACGAATATCTGTAATTCCAGCTCGTGTTCTAACTGCTTTCTCAACTCCGTGTTCCCCAGACTCGCTGCTCGCTCCCCAAAAATATCCAGCAGAAAGTGGCCGCTCTCCCGCCTGGCACTTTTATTCACTTTCCTCGCTCGAACTTGCTCCAGCTCAAACACCATCTCCTGTAACCAGGCACAAACTAACATAAAGCAGAGATAGATCGATCCTAACATTTAGGTGAACTAAATATTAAACTATAGATGGACTGAAAGGGTCTAGGTGCGGGCAGACAAACGTACGTTCAAGCCGTTTGACTGATGTGGCCTCACATCGATGAGCTGCAATGGAAATATAATGCTGCAGAAATGTAAAGTTCACATGTGAAGTCAATATTGTGTCAGACATTTTGTGACAAAGTAATGCAATACATAAGCACTAGGCTGTAGATACAATCAGCAGTATTTATTGAGTCCTTCATGCAAAGCTTTGATTAACACGAATTAGGCTAACATTCACCTAGAAAACACGGTCACTACACTTTACAGTAAATCCTGTGAAGCGCTTTGCTCCGTTCACCTGATGGAAAAGACGATGAATCTAAGGCAAGGATTATTATTTATTATTCACCTGTAGGCGGCAAAGAATGTCCACATAGCATGAAGTCCGGAGTGAGGCAGGGCGTGAGCGATCGGACTGGTGACAGCATTGCAGCTTAACTCTACAGGTGGACAAATTTAAATCAGCAAAACACAATATATCCTATTTCCAAGCCACCACAAAAATAAACATAACCACATTGGACGGGGTTTAGGTCGGGTGATGTACGAGCTAAAGTGAACTACAGCTCTGCTATCTTTATCCTGAATCAGCGTGTCCCTGACAGTTTAAATGGGGAGGGGACAGAGGAAAAGGGGCCTGGCAGTATCTGCCTATATTGTGATGTGATTATTTTAGCAGGTTCTCAGACGTTTACCTTTTACTGAAATCCATTAAGGTATTGATGATGGTCCTACACATTGTCTCCAAATCCCCACCACATCCTCCTGCTGAACATGGAGACGGGAGGTAATGTTGGTAACAGACCCAGTGTTGATAGTCTTGTCTGTAATTGAAGGAAAGCACAATAAATCATTTGTAAACTAGAATGAATCCCATTGTAACGTGTGGCTGGTACCAACACATGGAATACCAGAATGCCAAGGGACATCCAGGGTCAACTTTCCATTGCAATATAAATAAATAACAATACTTGCATTTAATACATCTTGTAAAACCATCAAAACATCTTAAAAGCGCTGCACAGGATCTTTACTGTGAAGTGTAGTCACTGAGTACTCTGCAGGTAAACACTGTTGGAAATATCCCGGAGGTGAAGTGTCCATTTTAGCAAGTAATAATTCACCCCAAACAATTACCAAATAAAGTGAGTGAACACTTATCAAAGGCTTTATTGTAGTGAAGGCTGGAGGCTAAAAGCCCACATGAAATGGGGAGCAGGACTTCAGAAGAGTGAATATTTGGGGGGTTAATGAAAAGAGTTCCAGGAACATAATTTATCTGTTGTTTTTACTACATGTTTGATAATGTTTTACCCACATGATTATTACAGATGGTTCGGAGCATGGAATTCACAGGACATTAGATATCAGAATTCAAGATTAGCTTAGCAAAGAATGCAAAAAAGTGATGATAAAAAGGACTAGGCTCCTGGGGAAGGTGCGGTTTACGAATCGGCAGAATTCAAAAAGTGGATTAGTGTAAAGGTAATTATAAATCACACCAAATTATCACACCATGTAATTATCCTGTTCTTGTCGACAGTGTTAAACCTAGGCTGAAATCCAGTACAGGACATACTGGGGGGGGAAAAAAAGCACATAGCGGAATTTACATTAGAGCCAGCTCAGATATTTACCTGTCTATGTCAGACAGTACATCCTCATGTGGTTGCATATCCAACTCAGCCATCAACCAATCACGGAACGTTAACTAGAAATGGAGAGGTGATAAGTGACTCCTTGAGCGGGCAGCTTTTGAGATGAATGATGAGTGTGGAATACAATGTACACATACGAACATGTTGCCAGGGCACTCAAGTGTAATAAGACCATTCAATTCAAGAACAATTACAAATCCATAGCATTGCCAACCTCAGATTGCAACACAGCTTTATAGCGGCGAACTGCCCGGTAACATTTGCAGTTAGTTGTCTTCCTCAAGGTGTCACTGTGCAGAATAAGTACAGAAACTGCTGCATAAAACAACTGCAACCACTAGCAGCACTGTACATCATCAGGTTAAAACATCACAACCTGATTTCAACACAGAGGGGTAGACTAAAGCTATGTTAAAATTAATCAACTTGAAAGCTCAACATGTTAAATTACCTGAAAGTCCTTCACTCTTGTTAGCTCCTTGAATTGACTGTGTTTAAACGCTGAAAGGGCAGCGGAAGTCCAATTTAAATCAGGAGAAGTCAGGTTAGGCCACATAGATTCCGTCACTTCTCCCTGTTCTGCTCGAGACGCCGGAATTAGTCGCGGAAGCACATACAGAAACTGCAAGAGAACAGTAAACAACTCGCTGGTCAGTAGGACCAAAAATACTCTGTACAGAATAAGACTTTTAATAATATCAGAAACGAGCAGAAATGTTCCACAGGTCTGGCCCATCAAATCCTTCCTTTCCCTGGATAGGATTAATTACACTTTGCCAAACTCTTTACCTTTTGAACAAACCCAGAAGGAACAGCCTGCTTCACAATGTCAACAGTAGATGGTGACGAGAGGCAGAGTCCGTAAGCAACAGCTGCTGTACAAAACCTGCCAGAGAAAGGAGTTTCATCATAAGGTGGGGTTTGAAACTAGAACTATAAAATCTGCTGTGTGAGTTACATCTTAACTCAGGTCACTAAACAGCAGTTAGTAGTTCCAATAGTTGCTGTGCAGAAAAACAAACTTTTGGGAAGGAAAATTGTGGGAAAGGCTCACAAGATTAGTTTGAAGCTGGGTTTTACAGCATCTATTTCATTATAACAGGAATGAGAGGATCTGTCTTTTTTTTAAATATAACATTTGATACATACTGATTTTTTGTGCCTAGTCTTTTCAAGGCAAACATGTCTGTGCACCACTTCGCCCACAAAACACAGTCGATCCACTTTACAATATATTCTGTGATGTACTTTGATATGTTTCAAAGATGTGATAAGGTGCTATATCAATCTTCTTATTATTAAAAAATTGTTCAGGCCATTACCTCATACAGAATGTCAAAGATTGTCCAGTTGTGCAGCTGAGAAACTGGGTCAGGTGTTTGCTGAAGAAAACCCCCGCTTTGACACCTGATTTTTCTTCCTGGTCCATCGAATCCACCAGTGGCAGGAAGCTTTGCGAGATGTGCACGTGGACTGCGAAAGCAGCCAGTCCCAATATGTGGCTGTCACTTAGAGAAGGACCCTATTAAAAAAGTACAAACAATACCTTTAACTGTATATGGATCATCTATGGTCCGTGTGGATGATTAGGGTTCTGGTGTCAGTAAATGGACACTTGTTTGTGGGCAGTAACACAAATGCTGCTGAATATCTATTCTCGTCTTGTTTTGCCCACAAAATACACAGTCAATTCACTTTACAGAGACGTCTCGACGATGTGATAAGGCGCTATATCAAATGCAAGGATTTTTATTATCTGTCCTATGAACAGTAACACCTGCTGACAGTACGATCCAGTTCATGTGACTTGCTGAGCATCTCACTGACACCGTGTGGCTGTCTACTTGCACACAGCTCAGACACGGTAAGTGACGTGCTAGTCTCTCACCTGGTGGCTGATCAGGTGCAGGACTCGGGTAAGAACTGCGCGTAGAACTCTCCTGTGGCCGCACAGCGTTCTCACAAACAGAGATGCCCATTCTCCCTGCCTGCAAACAGAGCCCGCCAGAGAGGATCAGAAACTCCGCAAAGGTAAACCGATCGACATAATAAATAATAGTTCTTAGAAAGTACACACTCGTTCAACCAGAGGAATACAGCCACACGAGAGGTGTTACTCTTTATGTCCTTATTACCATTCAACTACTAGAGGAGGCCTACCTACCTGTGCGGCGGGTTGAAGTGCGATGCTGTAAGAAGCGTTTGACAAAAGCTCTTCAGGAGGAGATCCCTGACCTGTGGGAATAGAGGAGGTGAGATACAGAGGATGACTCATCTACCCTCTTTATACTAAGCTTTCCTGGTTTCTGTTAAATAAAGGCGTCAGTTCTAATAACTGGGAGAACTGTTAAAGAAGGGTCCTTGTCCTCACACGTTCAGTACATCAAAAATAGTTAGTTTTATAATCTTACTATTACAGTGATCAACCCCAGAGGTGAACATGATCCTGGAGCAGGTTTTTGGGGAAATCCAAATGGTGTATAAGAACGCAACCCATCCTCACTTGTCACAAGTGCACAGATGTTATTTCGCTTGAAATGCCGCACTTATAACAGCGCGTGCCTACACACAGTGGGTTTCGGTTCGAAACAAAACCTGTACATTCAATCAAATGCAGCACCAAATGCACACACGCAGCAGGCACGAGCTTTGACTGCAAAAGCAAGTTAGACAACTGCATTAACCTAACATTTGCTCCGCGCTCGGGGACACCCACCGCGAACTCCAGAGGCTCCGCGTTTGTTGCTGCAGCATTTAGTCGGAGAGGTTGATCTGCTCCAGCGCACTCATCGCCGTCCTCTATCATTGCTCCCAGTTGTGCAGAGATTACAGCAATCTGAGCAGGAACAGCTGGAAAAACAAATCACCCCCGTGTCTCGCCAGAGACAACGTTAATGCGCTGAGCACGCCTTGCAATCAAACTGACCCATAATCTAGATTGATATCTCTCTCTCTCAAGCTGCCACGCTATGATCATTGTTGACCTACAATAAGCAATGCAGCTCTGATTCGGCTTCGTACAAAACATTTGTTTTATAAAACGCAAAGTTCAAAAATAAGATTTTTTGAAAGTGAAAGAGAGTAGAGGTTTACCAGGAACTTAGGAATCATAGAATCCTACAGCACAGAAGGAGGCCATTCAGCCCATCGCGCCTGTCCTGGCTCTTTGAAAGAACTATCCAGCTCGTCCCACTCTCCCCACACCCCCCCTCCCCACCCCTCTTTCCCCACAGCTTCGCAATTTTTTTCTTTTCAAGTAAATATCCAATTCCCCATTTGAAAGTTATTTATTGAATCTGCTTCCACCCGCCTTTCAGGTGGTTAATTCTTGTCGATTAGAAGCGTGTGCTCTCTCAGGCTAGCCACAAGCAGTGCCTCTCTGTCAGGACAACAGCACTACCTACCATCATTGCCTGGATTCATAACCAGGTTCCTGAGCTCTTCCAGAGCAGTATTCAACACTTCAATTGGCTCCTTCGGGACCTCCATCTCCTCAGTTACAGAAACTCCTGCCATTTACAGAGCAAAACAACACATCAACTTCTCGGTTTTAAAATATAATAAAAACAAAAACTTTGCATTTGATATAGCGCCTAATCACGTCTTCGAGACGTCTCATAAGTAAATGAAAGACAAAAAAAAAATTGTTTTAGTGTAAATAAAGAAAACACAATGGAAGGACAAAGGGTTTTATTTCTGACCTTCAAGCCACTGCTGTTTCTCCTCTTCACATGCATGAATGTAGCTGGTGTACATGTTAGCTGGGATCTTATCTGCTCTGCAAAAAATATATCCCTGGACTATCAGACTCATCTTAAACTCGCAGGATGAATACAAAAACCAAGCAGAATTGCCACTAAGAAGCACATTTCATGTTAAACAAGGAGACAATAACTTTGTAGTTCATCAATCCTTTCAGTAACTGATCTAACACGTCTGTAACATCTACAACGAAACTGTAGTACAATTTCACGAGAGGCTGAATTATCATGTCCTTAAGTCCCATCTTAAAACACTTTTTCATCAAATAATCTCTACAGGGATCTCGAGCGGATTGTTATTGATTGACCCAGGAGAAGACAGAATGGATGGCTGGCTGCAGTCACCTGCTTCCAAGAACCTTACTGATACTCCTGAAAGTCAAATCAATCTAGACCAGCATGTTCAATACAACTTCCAAGACCTCCAGCCCCAGCCCTCCCAGGGATCTGTAAATCTGCCTCTGAGATTGCATCCCTTTGGCACCTGAATCCCTTACGACATAGATTAGATAAATGTAAATTCCTTCAGTTCCATCAACAATAAACTTCAACCGAAACCCAAGCCTCGCATCCCCAACGTTTACTTCGCCCACCTTCATCCATCCAAATGGAGACGGTATTTTGTGCTAAAATTTGGGCACATTTTTGTTCTGTGGGATGATTGAAACCACACACAACTATTCCCATCCAAATCCCTTACAATAGGCGACAGAACAGAAGGTTCAGATTCGCTATGTTTCCCCCATCCCCTGCTTTTCAACATCATAATTTCTGACTCTTCAATGTGGTCACTTACTTTTTCAGAGACTCTATGAAACCCATGCGCAAATCTGGTAATTGAGGCAACTGTAAATTAGAATACACAATCAGTCATAACAGATTAACATCGGACTGAAGGATAACTTTGATATTGCTCAAGTGCAAATAAGACAATAGAAAAGGTACAAACCACACGTGGGGTAAGCAGAGCAGGTAGAAATCGGGACATGTAATATGGTCTTCGGAAAATACTGAAAGGGTGGTGGGGGTTGGGAGAGAAAGGTTAAAATTTGTTTTCATTGCAAATTGGAACATTACATTTGTCTACTGCAAAATTCTCGTTTACTCATTCAACAATCTACTGAACAAAGACAGATTTAAAATACCAATGTTTTAAGGAATAACCTGAAATATGTTCGTTGTGCAGCAGGGAACTGGGAAACTTTCAAACTAAGATTTACCTAACTCAGTACAATTTGAAGTCAAGCTTATCCCCATTTTTAAATCAAATCACGTACATTCTGATGGGTTTCTTTATAAGCGTCAACATTTCAGCAGTAAATCATAAATCGGTAAAAAAAACAAGCATCAAACTATCAACATTGCTTAAAAAACCCCAGAGGAACATGCAGTAAGTACCTGGCCTCCATTATGCCGGCTGGGATCTTTCTACTGTTTTCAAACAGAACCAGAGCTTTCTCAACATCCCGCAGAGCTTGGAACTGCGGCTATGAATAAAGATTTAAATTCATCAGTTTGTTCCCCCAACAACAATAACAGCTTACATTTATATAGTGCCCTTCATGTGGGGTAGCACCTTTGTCGCATTTCAACTACACAAATATCATCTCGGAATGATTCATATCTACTTAGCAAGAAATCCATTCCTTCCTGTGAGTATTCTAGAAGGATGAGCGAGATCAAATGGGCCGAAGGGCTTTCATCCAAACCAATCTTGTGACCTTGTGAATAATTTCACTGTCGGGTGTGTTGAGTTCACTACACAGCAATGACAAGTGAGAAGCTACACTGAATAATTAGGAATCAGTCTTTAAAAAACACCAGCCTTCCACAGACGTTAAAGGGTTGGATATGAGTTCTGCAACAGGCAATTTTCAGGAAATAATTTAATCATGGATTTAGCCACCGAGAAACCTGCAGAAATATGCAGGATGTCAAACACGGCAGAGACACAAGTTAGATGTAAGTTCTGGTAAATGTCGGTTCCTCTCCTGTGTATGTGGGATATTTTTCTGGGTATATTTCAGATTTAAACTGCCAATCCTCACCTGGTGACCAATTTCTGTACTAACCTCAGGTGGTCCTTGAGCAGCTGAGGGATCTTCGTACAGACCCATCTCCTCCACTGACTCCTAAAGCCAAAAAAGTGAGGATCTCAGATACAACACAGCCACAAGCAAAGCATCTGGGGAATGGATATTTTACTCTCAAGGTGACATTAATGCCAACCGTAAACAGGGAGGCAGTTTCCTGTTAATTTCTGCGCCCTAATAAAATGTGTTTTTACTAACCATATGGCTATTTAGCAATACTGTATTTTCATCAGACACTTTAAATATCTTAATTATGTGTGTGCCTCCCTTCCCCCACCCCTTTTAAAAACAAAATTGAGGCATTTTGCATTATATCCATAAATAACAGGGGATTTTATCACTTTTCAGAGTGTATATTGGGTCAACATTTACAGAAAAGTACTTAATGAATGCTACTATGATTTTCTTTCTTAAAATGTGTCATAAGACAAAATTTCCGTACAAATGCCAAACACAAACTGCATCTGCCGGCCGATTTGAAAACAAGCCAAGTTTGCGCTGTGCGTTTGCTGAGATGATGGACGGTTCACAGAGGCTGGGGAATATATTCAACAGCAATTTACACGTGCATAGCATCTTTCATGTCGGTAGGACGTCTCAAAGCACTGGCTTCACACAGCTGACTGGCAGCGTTCCCACTGACCTGAAGATCTAAAAGTCGCGTTTTCGCCAGAGAGATGTATTCCATCAGCAGCAATCGGTATTTTGGCCCCACATATGGTGGATACAACATGTGAATCTGGACACGAGAGAGAGAGAACGAGAGAGAGAAGGAGAGCTCACACATAGTCCTTCGACCACAAGAGAGTGCTATTGCAAAGAGGAAACGTTTCCGTGGTTTCACACAACCCAAAAAATGTCATTGCTTTTCTAGCTGTTTTTACAGCAAAGAAAATTAGAAGGATTGCAAAACATATGCCACATTAAATGTAATGATGGGGGTCTCTAACCCACAGGGGCGTGAGCTACCGACTGAGCTCCACTGACACACTGCGGTGGCAACCCACTGAAGTGACCCCAGGCACCTGCCAATCATGGACAGTAATCATCCTACCTTTAGGTACGGTGCCGGTTCAAAGGGGACCAGGTCTGTCAGGAACTTCAACAGGAAAACTAGAGCTTTCTTGCTGCCGCCGTGATAACTGCTCGGAGACCCGAAGGAAATCTAAAGAGGGGGAAAAGATTAAAGATTTTTGGCGGGGGGTGGGGGTTTAGCCGGGTGTCTGGCACGCTTAGAATCCCATCAAACTTGCTTAGGACTATCCAAATCCAAAAAGTCTTTAGTTTACAGGAAGGATAAGAGAACAGGAATAAATTTAGGAATTGGGTTTTTGTTTCTAGATCTTCAATAGGCAGGTGCTTTATTATTTTTGATTCCTAGTTTTTTTTTCTCTCTCTCATCTCGTGCAGATGCTGGTGAACATCTGCCTGGTCAGTGACCTAACCTTAAATGCCAGCCACGTGAGGACAGGCTGCTGCGGGGAATTCAAACGAGCGATGCTCCTCTTAGGTTAGAGTTAAGTCACAGATCACTGCTCTGTACCAGGCTGTGCTGCTTCTTTACTTGGGAGCGATCAAGGTTGACACTGGGTGGCTCAGAAGTTCCGGGGTGCAGCTTCGAGTCCCTCTCACCCGGATTTCAGCTCATAGAATGAATCTCCAGTGTCTAAAATCCAGCCAAATAATCCCTGCTTCATTGTGAAGTGGGTTAAATTGCTGCCCGAAATAAATGCGTAGCTCTCTTTCTAACAAGCACTCGGGCTGCAGATTTCACAATCAGACACAGCAGAGAGCGAGAGAGAGGATTAAAAGCAGAGGTGTTCTCACGAGCAGCATTTAGTGCTCCCTGGCTGCTACACACAGAATTTGGCAAAAAGGACCATTTTAATTCAGTGAAAGTCAGTGCAAACACAGGTCCCCAAGCCTGGTCCAGCACAATAATGTCCTACTTTCTGTAAGCTTTACCTGCGGCTATTTACCTCCCTCAGCAATTAACTCACAGGCAAAGTTGTGCAACACAAATTGTACCCAGTGTATTGAAAGACCTGCTTGCATCATTCTTTTCTTCCTGTAGATTTATCAGCTTGCTCACTGAATAACACTGTACTACATCACACAATAAGGCAGCCTGTCGGCCTGAGTTTTCCACTGCCCTTCATCTTATAGCTGCTCGAACGATCCTGCCAGAGCATCTCCCTAAGGCTAAAATCAATTCTTAGCAGCTTTTCACCACTTACAAGCCGGGCTGAATCACATCACATTGTAAAGCTTTAGTCCCTCGAGGTGTGCAGGGAAACTGGCAAGGCAGACACAGTCGAATATTAAGTTTGCCATCATCCGCAAATCTGGATACTGATTTTCATCTAAAAGTTCCATTCTTTCATACTTAGTACAGTCAGGAGCGATACTTATTGCCCGATAGAGTGAGCTTACCTTGAACCATTCAGAGTAAGATATAAACACAGCCGGTCCCTCCAGTGATGCCTGGCGAGCCAGCAGGAAGGCAGTGATAATACTCTCCAACTCATAGCTCTCAAAGGCATTTATCAGCAACTTCGCCAACAGTCCTGCAAAGACACAACAAGCCACCTGCCATGGGTCAAAATGGATACAGTTGAGTGCTTGGACACAGCCACCCATTAAACAGATGGTTCAAATTGTTGAAGTCGTGCAATGCTGTACTCGTTCGCTCTTGCACAGAGCGAAAGTGTCCTGGTGAAGGCCGCTAGGTAAATGCAAGATGTTGTTGTTTCATACCTTTCAGATGCTGTTGGGTGTCTGGCTGACAGACCAACAGTGTAGAAACACAGGACAGCACGTTCTGCCAGTTAACCTCGTGGGTCTCCAAAACTTGTCGCAAGTGAGCAGTCAGCTCCTCTGGGCCGAACAGTACAAACAGCTGCACAGAGAGAGAAAAGAGGCACAAACGATTAAAAGGCAACAGCACACGAACAAACACAATAAAAGTTTAAGAAAATAATCCAAAGGCCACCAAAGTGTTCCCTCCGCTGCCGGGCGTGTTAGGTTACAGTAATGCGCTTTGGAGGAAAACAAATAGAGACAGCTCCAGAGATCTTAGACATAGGATAATTGAAATTGTGAAATGCAGCGGAACAATGAAACTTGCTGGTGGCTGAAGCTCTGCCAAGTTTCAAAGCACTGGACGTTGAGAAGCGCTCAACGAATTGCTGCCGTGCGCAATTGGCTGCCGCGTTTCGCCCACAAAATATACGGTCAATTCACTTTCAAGTATATTCTGTGAAGAGCTTCGAGACGTCTCGAAGACGTGATAAGGCGCTGTATCAAATGCAAGGATTATTATTATAATAATGTTACTTCCTGTGAGCTACTCATGCGCAGGAAGTGCCGCTGATGTCACTTCCATTTCAAAGTGATGTCAGCGATGATCCTGAAGTCAACCATTTCTTTGTGCTTTGCTGTAACTGAGATGTTGGACCCAGACCACCACATTATAATGGAGGTGTTCTTTATTTGAAAGACACCATATTTTGAGCAAATCTATTAACGAAGCAGTAATAAGCACTGACATCCTGTGCTCCACCCTCAAACCTCAGGGCTGCACTGATATGATGCAGCGCTTCATTGAATTAATGACCCATTACCTTTCTGTATAGAGTTGTCAGATGAGGCCACGTCTTGGCAAAGCACCAGTCTCTCTGCATGCGAATGGCATCTGATGCTATAAAAAAAAACAGATTTTTTTCCCCACCGGTGGTTCAGTAACATTTCGTCCATTTAAAGCAAATGTTCAAAGCACAAGAAGTGCTAGAACTAAATCTGTAATCACTGCTCAAAGACCACTGCTAGATAATGGCTAATGCTGTATAAATCTACTCCACAGATAACAAATGGGAAGTACCATCCCAGACAGTGCTATGAGCCACAGATTTGAGATTCTACTGCCCGAGTTATTTATACATTCTAATTTAAGAAGGAGCCAGAATGGCAGTCTGGTCCCTGTACCAATGAGCTCCTGACCCAGACTTGGGAGGGAGGAAACCTGCCTGGGGTTTCTTTGCCTTCTCAGTCAAGCAAAGAACAGCATCACTTTCAACCGTAGAGAGGGGTCTACTTGCAGAAGCTGCGTAGCAGAGCAGGGGGAGTTAATCAAAAGAAACACGGGAGAGTGGGGGTGGGGGGACGGGGAATCTGCTTTGGCTAGAATGTAAGAGCCCAGTTTGAACTGCAGCATTTCCCCACAATATGAATTGCTTAGTCCAAGTCTGTTTCATGCAACTACATGCAGGAATTGAATTGTTTGGGATCATGTTTGTACCTTCAAGCACAGGATTGTAGGTAAGAGCTTGCGTCAGAGTGTGACAGAAGAACTGTTTCAGTCTCTCCAGAGAAACGGTACCGTGGTATAGCCCCGTGTCAAACACACCCAGCCTGCAACAAGGAACCAGGGACATTTCAAAGGTAAATTCTAATCATTAACTTTTACGTTAAGAATTTGTGAAAAAATATAAACATATTTTTCATTTCATATGTTGATGCTTTCTGCTTCAACCACAGAACAGCTGAAAAGGTACGTACCAGAAATGAGTTGCTTTCTGATGAGAAGAGTCATCTTTTCTCTGCTGACACACATCATTCAACATCCCTGGTACAGAGAAAGGACATTTCAGCAGCAAATCTTTCCAAACATGCAATGCACCGACACAAAACCAGCGACCAGACACGTACAATACGCAAAGCCAGGGAAGTGAGATCTCAGGGGAATGTTGAAAATATAGAAAACAATAAATACTTCATAATAAAAGAAATATAAGATTATTTTACTTCTATTTTCTCTCCATGTATATAAGGCAAGACATTCCTCTCGCCTTTAAAGATGGCGAATTCAACAACTTATACTGAACATAAGCTTCTACAGTAAACAGCAGAGTAAGATACTGAGTGTGGTACTTACATGAGAGCATTCTGTCCAGAATAGTAAAACACACCTAGCAGTAAGGAAAACAGTGAGATATCAGTAAAGTGGCATTATTCTGATATTACAAATAAATTTCAAGAGTACTTGAAATTAATTTGAGGTTAGGTTTGAGATGCAAGCATTAAGAACATCCCCAGCAAAATGACAAGGAGAAGAAACTAAACTTTAAAGCATTGTCATCTAAATAATAGCTACACAAATGCTTTGGCCAAGTGGAGCCTTTCTTTCTTTGAATCGACTTACAGAATCTATAGTCGGGCTCCCCTTTTGTTTTCTGAGCATGTCAGAGAAACCTCAACACTGTAATTACATCATTCCTTTCTTTAGTTCAGAGACAATGGCTTGTGGAATGTTTTAGAGCAGTAACAACACATTTGTGCAACCTCTTGAATCAGTGAAACTTATGGGCTTTAGCGTTCCGAGACACTAACCTGCCTGAAGGGCACTATATAACAATACAAAATTACATTTGTATAGAGCCTTTCATTATATAAATGCAACTTGTTATATCTTACGCACTTATCTAGAAGGTCATGTGTGACACAGCGTTGAACATATGCTATTATTTAGATGACAATGCTTTAAAGTTTAGTTTCTTTTCAGGGCTTTCCCAATGGGGTTTTAGCCTTAGTATCACTCGTCATCATGTGTTTGCCTGCAGTGTCACCCCACGCTGTGGTTTCGTGTAGCTGGCACTTCCTGACCTGTGGAAACTGAGGACTCTTAGACTCTGCAAAGCTCGATTCCTGAAATCCATTCCTCACCAACACCGTCACAATGTCTGAAAGGAAATAACATTACCCAAAGAATTAAAAACAGACACGCAGTGAAACTCCTTCACTTGACGAGGAAGTTACTGTCAAAAGACACTCAGTAGAGATCAGTAATCTGATTATCTGAGGAAAGTCTGATGTTAATCAACACTTGGACTGAACCTCAGATCTTCCAGGGGGGAATTGGAATGTTATTGGAATATTATATACTCACGGCCACAGGGTCACTTGCCTGTGTTGTAGTTATTTCTTAAGCGTTTCACAAAAAATAACCGTTTGTTATGATGGATACTATGATGCTACAACTATAGTTATTTTCATACAGGTAAAAAAATTATAGGTAGTGTTTTTTAATCCAGTGGAAAAAAGTGAATAAGGTATTCATATCATATCAACTTTCTGCAGTCAAAGCAGCCAATGTTTAACTGCATCAACAAACGGCACATGGCCTTGAACAGGGAGTCACCACTTTGACAGTTTTGGGTCCACATAACAGCAGAGCAAGGACATGAATCTTTAGAGCAAATGGCAGCTTCCCAAATCTGCAATCCTGAAATCTTAAAGTGTTCAAAGGTGTTTCTATAGGTCCTGTAGTTCAGTGGTTAAAGCACTCGCCTCGCAAGCGAGAGACCTTGGTTGGATTCCCGGCAGGGTGAAACCTTGGGCAAGTTTCCTTACTCCACACGCCTGATAATAATCCCTCAAGACAAAAAACAATAATAAAATCAGTCATTTCAATCCACGACTGTTTTGTGGGACACTGCTGTGTGCAATTGGCTGCCGGGTTTCACCCACAAATATACAGTCAATTCACATTACAGCATATTCTGTGAAGCGCTTTGAGACGTCTCAAAGACATGAAAAGCGCTATATCAAATGTAAGGATTATTATTATTTTATGATTATTATTATAGGTTAGCTCACAGCAGATGTCTAGCTGGCATCAGGCCATAGGAGTTAGTGCTTCTGGGAAGATGCCACACAACGTTAAGACTCCTGACTGGGCAGAACGGATATAAGTTTCAGCAGGAGATAGCAAGCAGGGCGAGACACAATCAAGTAATCAGGCAAATGACTGAAATGTCTTCCCACTGTACCAAGCTGACTCGGCTTTGTTTATATACATACACAAGTGAATTTTGTGCCTGTAGCAAAAAAAACCCTGGATTTTCCTTGCAAAATAGGGTTGTTCCCCACTGCGTTACAACATTATTGAGTGGCTTTTCCCCAGTCCCTACCTGACAGTATCTGCCTCTGGATATTACTGTTCTGTTGTTGATCTTCAGTCCCAAGACAAAGGTCACAGAGATCTTTGAAAAGCCAGTGTACCACAGCGGCAGCATCAGGGTTACTGTTCACAGAATAGAAAGTCAGCTCTTGCCTCCAGTCAGCTCAGCAGCATTGCTTTTCAACATCAGATATTGATCTTAAAACCTCTCCTAATTATTTAAGTGTACATTCCTCTCTATAATTTCTTTTATTATTGTAACACTACACGATGCCCTGCTAGTTTCCACAATCTCTACACGCAGGTTAGGTTCGATAGTGTATTATTTTTGTAAAAATGTCTTACTTGGCGACGGTCTGTAAGGTTGGGGGTGAGGGGGAGTGGGGGGAAAGAGGGCAAAGGGAATAAAAAACAATCAGCAGAGGGAGGGTGGGGTGAGGTAAGGATCGAAACCGAGCTGAAGCTGGTTTATAACGAAGAGAGGAAAGGCCTAGGTGGAAGAGGATGAATAATGAGACAATAAGGCAAAGCAAACTGGTGCCAAAAAACATAGCGGAATCTCTTGTTTATGCCCACAAGCAAGCAGTGTATCAATGTTGCATTAGTACCTGGCTATTCATTCACCCGGTTTCCCAGGCCTGTTGTATCATTGATTTTCCTTTTACCTCTATAATTACTCTATATTCCCATATATCAGCTCACATTTCTCTTTGTACAGAATCGACCTCAAGACGCCCTGCATTTCCTGGATTATGACAATCTGAGCTGCACAACACTATCGCCCAACAGTAACAGCAGCTTTCAGTAAGGACATTAGCTGTGTCTCCAGCTGAAATACCTCTGTACCAGCTCTTCAAGGCTCACAATGTTTTCCTTCTGCAAACGCCAGACTATCTCCAGTATTGGTTGTTCCTACACAGAAGAAATAAAGATCAGAGGCTTTCTGTCAGCAACGGAGAAGCTGTCATATCAGTCAAGAACTCTCTTCTTGCTAATTTTTGCACAGCACAAAGCAACTACCTATCATCATCACTCCTTTCAGCCAACCGTACGAAGCTCTTCCACCCTTAGCTGATCACATTATACAACCCAGAGCTATGAACATCAGAATGTATCAGGAACATGATTTACATTCAAAATAAGCAAAGATAGATATAGAGCTTTGTTGATTCTTCTGAATGATGCGCGTAAAAAGAAAATACATTTCTGAAATGAGCATCACCCTAAATAAACAAGACTTTTATCATCTGGAAAACTTTTGAGAATTCTGCAAACCACTTGCTAAGGGCTGGTGGTGTTGGGGGGGGGGGGGGGGGGGAGAGTAAGGTGTTAAATGCATTATTGACTGATGGAATTATGTACGTTATAGAATTCCAGATAGGGGAACCAACAGACTTATCCTTCATATACGCCCATTGAACCCCAATAATGCTAAACCCCATTCTCACCTTCGCTTTACAAATCTCTTGACTGAACTGTAGTCGGCTGAACATATTGGAGGATTGCAGGTCTTGCATGGTCTGAAGTAAACAGGTGAACTTACTCTGGAACAACATGAATGTGGTCAGTGCTCCAAACAAACATAGAAAAGAAGCACTTCCCATTTTATTACGTTACATCTGCTGCATAATATCCATCTGATTTCTTCTTTATTATGATGGGTGATGACCATAGTTTCCTAGATCACTCAGCAAAGTACTTTAACTAATATTGTAAGACAGTGGCAATATCAGAGGTACAGCGCCAGTTGTGTTAATTTAAAGTAAAATGTTTTTCAGGTCTTGGCCTGGCTCAGTTGATAGCTTGGAGTCAAAAGGATGTGGGCTTAAGAACCTCGTGAGTACCTAGAGTTTACAGCACCTTGGGACTTCCTTCTGACGTGAAAGGCATTATACAAATGTAATTTGTTGTTGTTGACACATCAATACTGGAGACAGCTGTACTGCCGAAAATGCTGTCCTTCAGATGAGACGTTAAACTGAGATCCTGTCTGTCTATTCAAGCGGGCATTAAAGGCACTGTTCAAAAAGAGAAGAAAGTTTCTCCCAGTGTCTTGACCAACATTTACCATACAAATTTGGTCATTCACTTAATGGCTATTTATGGATATGGGCTGTCACGTTTACCTAAAAAATACACAGTTGTTACACTTTATTGTACAGAATAAATTCTGTAAGTGCTTTGAGATGTTTTTACCACCGACATGATAAGACGTTAATGATTATTGTTATTATTTTTCCAGCTCTGGTGTAACAACTATTTACATATTCAACACATCAAAAAGAGACTTACTCTTTGAGCAGAGCTCAACATGACAGTACGTCTCGACACGACTGAAAGGATTTGATGGATTTTCTCTGCAGATGCTCTTGCAGACAGAAGCCCCACAGGCAGGTCCATCTGCAATGCCTGTTCTTGCAGAACTGACGCTGGAAAAGATACATGAAATTGGACAAAAGCACAAAAGGTTTACATTAGCTCCTAAACATACCAGCTTAAACCACAAGGATATGATACAGACACAGCCTCCTGGTTTTACTGCCACTGAGATGAAACAGTGGAAGAGCAGACAAAATATCAAGCAGACGAACAATGTGATTAGATGTATAAGGTGACATCTGGAAGAAAACAGTTTGACTATATTATTTCCTACCCTGTTTTTAAAGCTCTCCATGGTACTGATAGATGTCAGATATAGTGAGAGAAAGCGAGAGCAAGTGAGAGAGAGAGAAAGCGGGAGAGTGCATTGGGTAATGACCTGATTCTTGGATTTAGTTGCTCTGTAATTAACTGCTTGAGGTATGCGAAAACAGGCTAAAATAATGGGAAACATCAAGACTTCATTCGGGGACCTTTCTGGATCACACCCACAAACCTGCAGATGCAGAGCATGGGAATTGTGCACCAAAGAACGTGAATAAGTACAGCTACTGAGGAATGTTGACTATGGCGTCTTGTAAACTGAAAACCATTGGCTGTGCAGTACAGAATGTATAATACAATCACCTATCAAAGAATCTCCAGCAGCAGCTTTTGTCTCTTGATCGTCACAGCTAACAGTACAGGAACTGGACGAATGTCTACTTACTGACCCATTAACCTGTTCAGGAAATAATACATTTTTAGTTATAAATAAATGCTTGCCAAACTGTCCGCTCCCTCCGTCTCAAGACTGGGCTTCGGTCACCCTCCTAGCCCCATCCACCCTGCCCTCCACCCCTCCTGATCCCAACCCCCAGCTCGGGTGCAAATCCTTGACTGTCCAGCGCCTTGGGACGTTGTTGCGACGTGAGAGGCTCTGTACAAAGATAAGTTGTTGTTGTAACAGAAACGCCACCTATACTCTCTTTGCGACTTACCCTGTTAGTGTCTGCATGACTTCTTATACATTTTTTAGCTTTAGTCTTGGGTAATATTTGCAAAGGGCAAATCTACATACATAAAGGGCAACAATGCTTAATTATCCCCTTTACCTCCAGGAGCAGGTCACCGAGATTCTGATGACGACTCATGAACCGAATGACTGCATCCTTCAGTCCATGTGCAGGAAGAGGCCTCTGTCTTTGCCTGTGAGTTCTTGGCCCTGGAGATATTGAAGGTACTATAAACACCAACGAATTACATAATTTACCGAAATGACATTAAATTACTGAAGATACACTGAAAATATTGAAATTGTACTAGTTATAACCAGACACCATAGTATGTTGTAAAACAAAATCCTTGCAATTTGATATGGCATTTTATCAAGTCATCGAGATGTCAACAAGAACACAGGGAAAAAATCTCAAATGGTGCTGTGGAATATTCAACATCCACCTGAAAAGGCAGACAAGGCCTCACTTTAAACGTCTTATCCGAAGGACGGCACCTCTGACAGTACAGTACTCCCTCAGCACCACAATGCTGAGTGCCGATCTAGACCTAGTAAGCTCAGAGTCCTGACATGGGGCTTGAATTCATAACCTTCTGACTAAGAGGGTAGATGTTACCAATTGAGCCAAAGCTGACACCTTTTCCTTCATTCAGCATTGATCCCACATTTATAGCCCATTTTAGAATTCATCACCATCTAACTGTATCAACTCAATTCCAGTAATTCATCAGATTGGCAGTTTCTGGAAAGGTCAAATAACAACATTGTCAATATCAGGAGAGCACAGATAAAGGAGAAAAGTCTCTTCTCTGTTTTGATCACGGGCAAAAATAATTTTCTGTTGGCTAAGATCTTGATTGCATTGCATTTAAATTTAGATCATTTTAAATGATATGACCACTGGAGAGCATTGAGTCATAATTAGTCTTCGTGACAAAATTATATCAAAGCTGCCATTATAAATATATACGGTAGTTTTATTTAAAATGTACAAAACAATAGTTTGGGGGAAGACATTCCTGTTGTACAAGCTCATTGTGATCAATGCGGCACCTCTGCAGCAAATTTTCAGAGCAGGCAGTTTGCGGCCAAAATATTCCCTAATAAAATTACACTGACCCCATTTAAACATAATTCAGGCCTAACTGTTATGGAGCCCTTGGCCAAACTACTAAAGCACAGATGTTCAATTACTCCTTACAGGATTCAAATAAACCATACTAATTGCATCATTCTTTATTATAAATTGTGCTTAAAGATACCAGATGTATAATGGAATATGCCAAAGAGCTGTGCAATAACAAAGTATCAACAACCTCATCAGCAGTTGTATGGCTTCATAGATAATACAACTGATTCATAAAGCTACATGCTTGATGGCATCCGTTATGCCAAAAAGACACAACTTTTAAGAAAACTGTTCAGCAAATCCCTTTATTGCTTGTTTATTGAATGCTAAATTCAAATCACTGAAGAATATGAATTCATCCCTTTGTAACAAAAGTGGTGCACCCTGCCTCAAACAACACAGACTTGCCAGACTTGCTGAAATTGCCCTATTAATTTTGCCCCAAACATGAAAATTATGTGCCACACCAGTTGAAAGTTCACTTGACTCACCTAACAACTGTGAGAGTGTTTTTCTCTGAGGTGCATCAGCAGAACAAGACTGATATGAAGCAAGGTTGGAGACATCACTTGACATTGTGGCTTTCAAAACAATACTCTCCTGTCACTAGCCGTGTCTTATTGGGTCCTGCACACACACAATCGAAAAAACATTTAAAAGTAGCATCTGTCAAACCAACAACCGACTTAAAATGTGCACGTATTCTTAATAATAATCCTTGCATTTGATATAGCGCTTTTCACGTCGGGAGGACGTCCCAAAGCGCTTCACAGAACACACTGTAAAGTGAATTGACTGTATATTTGTGGGCGAACGCGGCAGCCAATTGCGCACAGCAATGTCCCACAAACAGTCGTAGATTGAAAATGACCAATTTATTATTGTTTTTGGTTTTGGAGGGATTATTATTAGGCTCTGTGTGGAGTAAGGAAACTTGCCCGAGGTTTCGGCCTCTGCCTGGAATTGAACTCAGGTCTCTCGCTTGCAAAGCGAGTGCTCTAACCACTGAGCTACAGGACTCCACGTGTGCTTCTGATCTGGTGTAACCGAGTTAATTATCAGCTCACGACTATAACTGATCCTATCTTTGATTCTGTCTTATAGTTCTATCTATACTGATCACGTCTCCCTCCCTCCCACTCTCTCTCTCCCTCCCTCTCTCTCTCTCTCTCTCTAGCTCGGCTGGTGCGGAGACACTTTCTGCCTCCGCTCTAACATTAAACATAGTGGATCTCTCCCTCTGTGGATGACTTGATCTCTCTTACAATCTGCGACTGTTTGTGGGACATTGCTGTGCGCAATTGGCTGCCGCGTTCGCCCACAAATATACAGTCAATTCACTTTACAGTGTGTCCTGTGAAGCGCTTTGGGACGTCCTCCCGACGTAAAAAGCGCTATATCAAATGCAAGGATTATTATTATTATTTATTACATCGTTCTATCTCCTGGGCACTGGGCACTGCTCTCTCTCTCCCTCTTTCTCTCTCCCTCTCTCTCTCTCCCTCCTTCCCTCTCTCTCTCTCTCTCTCCCTCCCTCTCTCTCTCTCCTTCTCCTCCAGTAAAAGTCAGCACAGTTGGTCTCTCTGACTGCAGTGCTCACCGCCGCAGCTCTCATGTCACTGTCTCTCCCGGTGAGTGTCTGGTCTCGGATTGACTTCCGCGTTGATCCCGCGCTGCGCTGCCATTGGTCGAGTGAAATGTATCCCTTTCTGCTGCGAGCCAATCAAACGGCGCCTCTCCCCCCCCATTCACACCGACTCCAGTCACTCACATCACTGTTGTGAATGAGAGGGCAATTCTTTTCCTTTTCTCACCTCTGTTTTGCTCAGGTTTTCATTTAAAAAAAATCAGGCATTTCCAACCCCCACTCCCCCCCCCTCCACCCCCCTCCACCCCCACTCCCCCCCCACTCCCACCCCCCTCCACCCCCACTCCCCCCCCTCCACCCCCACTCCCACCCCCCCACCCCCACTCCCCCCCCCCTCCACCCCCCTCCACCCCCACTCCCACCCCCACTCCCCCCCTCCTCCACCCCCACTCCCACCCACTCCCACCCCCACTCCCACCCCCCTCCACCCCCACTCCCCCCCCTCCACCCCCACTCCCACCCCCCCACCCCCACTCCCCCCCCTCCTCCCCCCCCTCAACCCCCACTCCCCCCCCTCCACCCCCACTCCCACCCCCCTCTACCCCCACTCCCCCCCCCTCCACCCCCACTCCCCATTAGTTTAATGCGCAGAAAGCACAGAGTAAGTCATTTCAGGGTCAGTTTCATTCACTGTCCTCAAGAGTTCAGGTGTGACTTGACATGTCTGTCTGGTCATTGTGGGGAGATGGAGGGAGGAACAGAACAGGGTTTGGTCTTGGCCGCATTCTGTCCAGCCAGAGGTGACTATCCTGATGCAGTCCTGGTGAATTAGGTGCAATGAAAAACTCAGGGTATGAATGTTAATCGCCATTTTTCTTCAATATCAATTATGCCCAGGAATTGAACCCTTTGGGTTTGGCAAACCAAACTTGTCCTGTTGCTTTTAAGTAGTGTAGACTGAGCCATTCCTAACTTTGATAGTTGCCCTCTAAATACGCTTGTTCTCACTTCTTTGCATTGCAAGACTTGTCCAACTTGAGGTTTTATCAGTAAAATTGTTGTGGTCCTATTATTCCTAGGATTCAAATGAAGCACGGCAATAATATCTAATTATTTACACAAGGACAGCTTTTTTAAAAAAAACGAAGTTTTGCTGTACATTAAACCCACCCCAAAAAACAGAAAATCTACAGTTCAGTTGTCTTGTTTAAATTTTAATAATTTAGTTTTGCATGATAATTGACTGAAAGATTTGGATGTTGATGGCTTGATTGAGGACACACATGGGTGTTGTTGTCCATTCACTTCATGGCTGTTGTTTGGGACATTGCTGTGCACAAATTGGCTCCTGCGTTCGTCTACAAATATACAATCACTACACTTTACAGAAACCTCTCCAAGTTGTTTTGTCACGATAAGGCACTATATCAAACACAAGTATTATAATTTTATAATTATTATTAAAAGTAAGATGGAGAGAGCTTTTGTACACCACCAGTGTCCCTCACAGGAATGACTACAGAAAAAAATCAGAATTAAACTCTCCCATGTGAAAACTGTGACTGCCAAACCAAGATGAGATCCATGTCTTTGTGCTCACAGAATAAATATCACTGCCCTTGAGCAGATAATATTCATGCAGAGCAGTGTCTGTCTCTTTCTACACCATTAAAAGTTGAGGTGGCTCTCCTGTGGAGAGGGGAAGATGGCTTACTTATGGTGATAGCTTCTAACTGGCCAAGTTGTTAACTGGGCTGGGTACCTTCATGGATGAGCTGCTAATAGTTATGATTCTGGTGCAGAAACTCCATCAACGGTTTCCGATAAGTGGACAACAAGTCAGTTGAATGTTTTAATTTAGCATTCGTAGACAAAAAAAAACTACTTTTGAAAATAAAAGGTCCAGCGAGGGCAGACTCCTGAGATGTGTATAGTGTGCAACAAAACATTCATTTCCACTGCTGCATAAGCTGTTTCCCCAGCATCGCACTTCAAACGTTTGTGGGAGGGTGTGATTCATACACTGGGAAAGAGATAATGGCTTAAATCAGCTCTGTGCCTCACTGCTCAATGTCAAAAAAATTTAAATTATTGCGGTATGAAGAACTGCAAGTTACATCTTTTTGTGTGAAGTATTTTTCGGCTGGAAATATCACGTATTGCTGCTTTGGTAAAACTTGTCTATATATCAGCATTCCGTTTTTCTGACTGAAGTACAAAGCGGTTTGGATTCTGAACACCCCTCTGATTTATTGTGGCTTTGAATGGGATGAGGTAATATGTGTGTGGCTTTGTTAAAATTGCTTTGAAATTTCCAGTTATTTATAGCAGAATTAAAATATCCTGTTAGCTGGTAAATAAACAGTGAGAGTGTTTCCCAGATTGAAACCACGATTTCTCCCCAAATCAAACAACTTAAACAGGATAAGATGGATTTCTCTCTCTCTGCCCCCCCACCCACCCAAACACCCACCCACCCACTCCCCCCACACACACTAACAATGCAGCTTCAGACTCCTGCAACAACTACACACTTACTTCCTTTTACTGTACCCATTAAACCTTGCAGTTTCCAAAATGTGTGCATTACTCGTGGTTTTTCCACGCCTCAGAATACTAATTGCAAAGTTTCACAGGCTGAAATCTAAGACAGAAACAATTTAAAATAATTTCCTGAATTTCAACACAGGGGATTACAATTTCAAAGTGGTGCCCCCATGATGCAACTTGGAAACCCTGCATTCTGTCGTTGAATGTCTGAAAAATTAATGTAGTAGTTATTTAAAAAATTCCTTGCTCTCCGTTTAGAGTTTATTTAGAATTCGAAAATTGCATCGTTCAAAGTTTCTCTCCTGAATAAAATTAATAAATACTCAGTAGAAAACACTCCCATTTAATATTCAGAGTTACTGAATTGTTACTGGAAACATCGGGCAGTATCAGCGGTTTAGGAAGCAACTGATGGAGCTTTGCCAAGTCTCTGCCTGTCACTTGAAATGTGCCATCACTGGAGCATTGCCACATCTGGTCCTGCCTCAGCTCAGCGATGTTGGCCCTTGACCAGCGATGTTGGTCCTTAGAAATTGATAACTGATAATGTAAATAAACTTGAAACATTTGACAGCTGACAGCATAACGTTTGTGTTTTTTTTTAAAAACATTGCATATGATGGTTTTCGGGTAGGGGGTCACCGGTGGAGGTAAGAATATTTTATCCAGTGTGAACATTCTCAGATCAGCTATAACAACAACAACAAAAATTACATTTGTGTAGCACCTTTCATGTCGGGAGGACAACCCAAGGCGCTGGACAGTCAGAGATTTGGACCCGAGCTGGGGGTTGGGATCAGGAGGGGTAGTTAATAACCTGGGTAGATGGAGGGGAGATGTTCTACCCCCAAAAAGCCTTCACCATCTGACCTGTACCTCTAACTGAACAAGCATGATTTGTTTTATGTCCTACATTAGCCATCTTTGTTGCCTCAGAGTGAAATCGATGAACTATGATCGTGCTGTTAGCAACTGGATTGCAACCTTCGTGACCTGAACCAGAGCTAGAATTCTGTCAGAAAGGGATGACTTTTTTGTCCCATCGACATGAACTGGGTACGAATGCACGTCTTGCAAATGAAAAGGTCAACGTGCACTCACTGCATTATCCAGCCCTCATTCTATCTATGTTTTTTACGATATTGTTTTCTTCGTTTGCTGAGTGTGCCCTTGCCATCTGCGCAGAAAGGGAGGAAGCAACCGGCTTTTGGCAGGTGTTTTGCAATAATTGGAGGGAATGAATCCTCAGGATGACTCAGCAGGCTTATCTGTATTGATAGCGTCAGTGACTGCACCCAGTAGTATTCCTTTAAGAGGAGGTTATAAGAATGATCTGTTTGGTTTAAAATGACAGTCAATACGTACAAAAATAGAAATAGGTCAGTTGTCAGCATTTTGGAAGATCCTGAATCAATCTCATCTCTGCATTTAGCAAAGGTTGCTGACTCCACGAAAGTGAACTCGCTGCTTCAGCTTTTAATGATAAAAAAATCATAATTTGCTATTTTTGTAAAATCGGAATTTTCTGAATTTAAAACGTTTTGTGTCTTGATCGATTTCTCAAGATTTGCTGTGCCCTGAAAGGTCGCTGGATAAAGGTGCAGCATTAAACCACAACACACTAAGCCATACTGACCAGACAAGGACAGGCTCAAATTCTTTATTCCAAGTCACCCCTTCTTCCGAACGGAGAATTATTGAAGAACACAACGCGAGTGAACCAATAGTACAACGTTTGGGACCCAAACAACTACAGGCGGTTAAAGCAAACACTTGGCATCACCTTTACTAGACAAGATCACAAGGGGGATTTAGAATAACAACAACAACTTGGATTTATAGAGCGCCCTCCACGCCGGACGGCGTCTTAGAGCGCGGAATAATAATAATAATAATCCTTGCATTTGCTAACATGTCGTTGAGACGTCTCAAAGTGCTTCACAGAATATACTGAAAGTGAATTGATTATATATTTTGTGGGCGAAAAAGCAAGAAGGTCCTTTGGCCAGTTTGATGTCATGCTTCCAGAACACCCAGCCTATAGTCTTAAACGTTGGACCTTCATTAATGTTTCATGTTCGGCTTGAGTTATTTACGGTAGTCCCAAATGACAAACCGTTGAAGAGTTTTAAGACTGCTATAGGCTAGTGTTGTTTCTATGTGTGGGCTAAGGGGAACAGGAATTGTTGACTCTCCCTTGGTTACAAGAGGATTTCATAACGAGAGGCAAAAAGGATTAAGTGGAATAAAAACTGAATTGAATTAATATAGTTGGGGAAAAATAACAGGAAGTGCAATTGAATATTGCTGTGGAATTTTTGAGGATATTATGGTATGTAGGTGAACAGCAAATACCTGCCATTCAATATGGGTGTGTAATTGCAGAGGTGTGTATAATTACATACACCAGAAATATTTACAAATCCTGCAGTCAGCTGTGACAACCCTCCCCTCTGGGCTGCTACATTTTTCCACCAGTCACCTTTGAAATTATTTCAAAAATGATGTG